CGAATGACCACAGGGAACAATAATTTGTAATCGAAGTGCCCTAATACCACACAAAACTGCGAGTGCGCGAGGGGGCTTTGTTGGATTTTTGTTGCTTGGTTATGGTCATGGCGAAGATGTGGGACACTCCTTGTCCATAGGAAACAGCTCAGGAAACAGAGCGTGGTGGTAAACACAGAAGCTTCGAGAGTGAAGGAGCGGATGGTTCGTAGATGAAAGATACACAGGAAGAGAAATGCGAGAAAGGCATTCATGTATCCTGTCAAAGGAAAATACTCGCACAGGTGGAAGTCATTCGCCCTATGGCTGACCAAATAGGTAGCTGGCACCATCGTCGGTCCCATTTCACTCTTTGGGGGATGTCATCTGATGAACGGGGCTAGGGGAGTCTCTCTGCTCTGCATCTTCTCAAAGTACGGAATCAGGCAGCTGTTGTGTGGCTTCTCTGACCTCAAGGGGGTGATATCCAGATGATCTCGGACGGATGTGTGAGCTCTCGTCCGCACTTACCTTCAGAACGATGTCAACCGAGGAATTGGAGACGGGGCAACCAGAACTTGTTACTTCTTGCCTTCTACTAGCATGACATGCCCCGTCTACATCAGGCAATTACTATACCAAGCCCGAAGCCCATACTGCACAAAAAGCAGAAATACCATATGAGAAATGTGGTACCTGGAATTTGTCTTCTGCAACCTGAACATCCTAGTATAGTTTGAGTTCTCGCCGAGCTTCCATCCTCCAGGCAACGTCGCCCAATCTCAACGCCAGCATTTCTAGTACCTCAAACTTACGAATACCACTATATCTTTTCGTCGATCCAAGTTTTCCTCGAAAGAATGGATCGTTTGCCCAGTTCATCCGGTCCAGATGGCGCGACAAACAACCCTTGGACCAAGCTGCCATTCTACGATAAGTATGTCGAACTTCAACGCAAAGCAAATGAGAACAGACACAAGAAGCATTTGAGATTCCGATCAGGGTCCATTTTGATCACCGATGGCGCCACACCCACAGGCCGTCAAATTGCCACCATCCTCAACAAAAAGGGGCACTATCGAATTCACGCCCTCTACCCACCCGGCTATTTTCCCCCAAATGTCCCGCCGACGGAGCGAAAGAGGCTCGCATACCCCGTGGACAAGATGCACTTTTTGAAGCCGGTTTCGAGATACGAGAATTATGTGTCGTGGTACGATGCGGTTGTGGAAATCTGCCATAAACATAATATTCACTACATCATACCACAGCATGATACTATGGCCGTCTTCGCAGCTCGTATCAGGGAACTCAGGCGGCGCGGTATATGCGTCCATACTCCCAGGCTGACGTCGATTCACTCCATTGTGGACAAGCTAGCAATGTATCGCATGTTGAGGGACCTTGGGATTTGGCACCATCCCTGGGTCTCTCTCGGAAAGGAGACCAACTCCCAACACGCAATCATGCAGACTGCTGGCTACATTGAAGACTCGGGAAACTATCCGGTCATGTTGACGGACCGTACGGAAGGGTCGGATTCAGTCTATGTGCGCATCCGGTCGAAGAAGCAGCTGGAAGACTACATTCTCGAGGACGAACGCAAGAGCGCAACGGAATTCGTCATCACTACGAATACCTTGAGTTCCATAGGCTAGTTGCACCAGACCCAGGGTATCTTCAACAACGGCAAGCTGGAGAAATGGCATGGTTGGACCCTCCTCCCCGTGCAGCAAGAAACCACCTCCCATTTCCGCAAAACATCGGCTCATAACCAGACGGCAGTGTTAGTTCTGCAAAAGATTGGGATGCATCTAAATTGGCATGGCGGTTTGAGTGTGACCTTCTGGCTGCCGATTGACGAAACCGAAGCCGAGCCCAGAGTGATGAGGATCGATATGGGTATCCACGAGCCGATGAACGCATACTATTCCCGAGTCGACCTGATCGACGCACTATTGGATCTGAGACTTCCAGAGAATTCAGGAACTGAGTGGGAGGACGGTTCCAGGTGGCAGGATCCTGACCACGCTTTTGACATGCCCCAGAATCTCACGAAGGAAGATGCTCCAGCAGACGTGACCAGGAAAGGCAAAACCAGCGTCGGACAGAACGACGTGGAGGAGGACGATGACTCAAAACACTTTCCCTTGCGAGTGATACTGATGCCCGACTTTGACCCACCGACTCGTTGGCGTGGCGTGCAAGTTCAAGCTACGGCAGACGTCAACTCCAGCAGTGCCTCCAGATTGTCTCGCGAGCTTACTGTGGTAGCATCGTCAGATGGCGATTCTAGTCCAGAGGATAAAATCAACTCCTGGCGCACGTTTCACACGCTGCGTACCTATTTGGGAGTGGAGGGATACGGTGGCGATGGTCCCGAGGAAACAGATTTAGCTATTTTTGAGGCCGCACTCCCGAATGGTGGGAGGTGCAAATGGAAGACGGGCGTCGCGACACGTCAATTCGTTTTGGAGTCTGAACAAAGGATCACGGCAAGTGAGGAGAAATCCATGCTGAAAAGATTGGCTACCGTCCTCGGTGATACGACCTGGCGAAAGTCCAAAGAAGAGCACACTCCCCTTTTCTTGAACCCTTGGACAACTAGCATTCGAAACATGCATAACGTGGCTAAACAGGTCATAGACCTGTCAGTGAAGGGCAAACCGGGACCGACACTATTATCCACGCTCCTCCGCGACGACTGGCCACGGCCGAATCCGAGAGGGCTGAGACGTGATCAATACGCCAAAATCTTTAAGACACATCTATGGGACGGACCTGAAATGCCTGATGGACCCTGGGGTCTCGCTCTTCCGGTGGAATCACACTACCACGCCAAGAGGTTTCGTGTTCACAGTCAAAAAGGTGTCCCTTCACGTAATGTTGCCTACCAGTTTTTTGTCAGGCAGGGTCGCGCTTACAATACAGGCACTCTCCTCCCGTTGGGGCATGTATCTCCGAACGACCCCAACAATGAAGTCTTCTGTACGCCCGTGATGCTTCATCCGACTCCCTTTGACCTGATCTGTGTAGGCGAAGAGCCCGAGACATGGAATAGCTGGACCTTTGTTCCGGACCCTTATCGACCACGCGAAGGTGTATTGATTCCCTCTCACGATTTGCCGAAAACGAAGCACATTGTTATTCCCGATGACCGTCAGCCTTGGGGGATGACACCAGGCCGATGCTTCTTCTACCGTGGTAGCAGACGCCATGTTCCGCGTCAGAACCGACCTTACAGATATCGGATGGATGACAATCTGCGGTACATGGTCCACGACCGGAAAAGAAAGCTACCCAACCCTCCAAAGGACTTCTACTTTGTGGATGATACTCTCCCTCCTCCCGTTTCTTTGAAAGATAGCTTTCAACCCATTGTCCCGCTGGTCCGCGGCATTCCTCGCACAGATATCGCCTATTTCTACCATCATGCCACTCACTACAGTCGGCCGTACATGGGTATATTTGTTCCTGCTGATCACCGTGAGTTGGTGCAAAAGCAGGCTTATAACTTTTATCGTCCAACGCTACTAGAACCTGTCCCGGAATCACCACCAACAAGCTCGTCGGTCAAAAAGGGTGCCTTCAGAGGTGCACAACGGAATTCCCGTGACGGTAGCGAGTCGGCCGATCAAAGCCCGCAGCTTGACTCTGAGGGGGATACCGAAGAGAGGGGGACGCCTACCGAGCCCGAACAGGAGCAAGATCCAAAAAATGGATGAGCCACTGCGGAGGAGATCCTAGGGAAACAGATGGACGAGACGGATGAGTGAGTGGTGGAAGGGGTCTGGGAGGTGGTTCTTATGCTCGATCGATTTCACGTGTCATTCCAGTTTCTGTCCGTTTATGTTTGTTAGCGTTAGGAGACATAGCCCTCATGTGCCAGCGATATATATATATATTGGATAGCGATTCGTTTTCTTTCCCAGCCCAAACCTCCCATGGTGTTTTTGTCCTGCAGTGATATCTTGACTATCCTCACTATGTTCTCACTGAATCAACCCTGAGATGAGCGTATACTGACGTTCAAGTTAATGAATGAGATGGCGAGAGCATAGCTTGGAATGGTCGAACGGTAACGTTGGACATTTGTAGTTCGATGTTGATGGCAACTCGCCTGACTTTCGGATGATGAATGCCAAACAACCTCGCAACTTACATACACAGCATGTTGCCATACCCTGTCTTACCTGGCTCATGTTCCGTTGCAAATTAAAACCTTAAACTGTGACTTCCGGCGGACCGATGGGAGGCTTCGGCCGGCTGATGTCACTGTGATTGCGAGTTTTTTTTTCGGCGCTGCGGATCGGATTCGGCCCTCGTGGCCAAGGTTCTTTGTTGACTCTCGGCCGGGAGCCGTTCGGGGGCCTCGATCCACGCCGGCAGGGTAAGTAAGGGAAGAGCGTAAGATCTAAACAAAATTTTTTTATCTTCCCTTCTAATCTGGGCTGGTAACGCATGCAATGTGTGACCTGGCAGAAAGCGCATTTGCTTCACCTTGATGAGCTTTTGGTTTTTTTGCACTAACGGATCCCAATGGAAATGTGGAAGGAGCCTTTGATCGTCTGGATCTAGTGCGTTCTCCAATCCAGACGCTGCGGCGGGAAGCATGATGAGTTGTACTCCTGTGTATGAATGGATACTGAGGAGGTCTTGAGGGTCCGGCTTTGTGATGGCGATTCTTTGTAATCGATGCAAGTGGACGTTTACTAAACCTTTCATGTGCTGCTGGTGTGCACACCTTCTGCGGATGAACTAGTTAATCACTGTGGCGAGGTTGATCTCGAATTCCTGTCGTTTTCCTTTCTCGCTTGCTCTTCACTCGCAGAGCTCATTCTCATTTGTGTCGTTGCGGGCATTATTTCATCCAACAGATACGTACCTAGCGTATTGGGTCAGGAAATATTTGTAAGAATTGGGGAAACCCTTTTTTTCCCAGGTCATTTGTTGCGACCGGGAGCCCCTGTACTGCCCCTGGCAACAGCTGACGTGATAGCGCGACCGATTAAACACGCAACGAAACGAAGGAGCGGCGAATTCCTGTACCTCTATCACTCACAAAGCAACAAATCCGGCTTTCATTCAACGCACAGCGCAGCGTCCATCTCCCCATTTAAATCAAACTGAACTCCATCCCTTTCGGTACCCCCGATTTGCCAAGTACCACCACAGCAAACAAGTCTCAACATTACTTTTTTTCTTCTCGCCCCTTTCGAATCTTCTCTCCCGATCGCGACACAGAAAGTCCAATCCACTCCACCTGGGAATTTGAGTAACAGATCAGGCGCCCTTCTTCAACCACATCGTCGCCAAGATGGCGTGGTCAAAGACGACGCGCATCCAAGTGATGCTGGCGATCGATGTCATGTTCTTCCTCCTGGAATTGTCCGTCGGTCTCGCTGTCGGATCACTTGCACTCTTGGCGGACTCATTTCACATGGTACGTCGCATACGCCGGGATACATTGGGACTCACTGAACCCTTTCGTTACGGTTTGTGTATAAAACAAGACTCTGTGACTAACACCATATCCTATGTAGCTAAACGATATCATTTCTCTACTTGTCGGATTGTGGGCCCTTTCTTTGACCAAGCGGGCGACAACAGATCAGTTCTCCTACGGTGTAAGTCTTGCGATCCGGTGTGATTCCCGTTCCCATAATCCTTTGCTAACCGGGCGTGGCTGTCTTAGTGGTTACGTGCGGAAATTCTCGGTGCCTTCTTCAACGCGGTATTCCTGATTGCGCTTTGCGTATCCATCGTTCTTGAAGCCCTCGGCCGATTCATCAACCCTCCCACGATCGACAACCCGAAACTGATTCTGATTGTTGGGTCGCTTGGTCTTGCCTCGAACCTCGTTGGCTTCGTCGTTCTCGGCGGACACGGCCACTCCCATGGACCTGGCGGACACGACCACGGCCACGACGAACATACGCATGGCCATGCGGACGCCCACGAGCACAACCATGGATATGAGAACAGCGCGGTCGCCGAGGAAGGCCGCGCGGGGGCAGCGAGCGATGCGCATAGTCACCAGACGGGTAGAGCCCGGAAGTCGAGCAACGCCAGACACGCCCGCTTCACGAGCATCGAAGACATGCAAATTTATCCGGCTAGCTTCAGGCAAGAGATCATTGAGGCGAGCAGGTCCCAGCCGGAGGAATCTAGCAGTGAGAATAGTTCCGACAACGAAAACGGCGGACATGAGGACACCAACACCGAAAACACCCCGCTGATTGGAGGATCGAATGGACACAATCACCAACATTATGGCGCACACTCATTTTCGTCAAAGAAGGGGCGACGGAATTCGAACGTTCATCGCGAGCACAACCACACCAAGCCGAAGAAGGCAAGCAAGGGCGGACACGGACACAGCCATGCTGATATGGGCATGAATGCAATGGTTCTTCACGTCATTGGAGATGCGTTGGGTAACGTCGGTGTCATAGCCACGGCCCTGATTATCTGGCTCACCAACTGGCCGGGACGCTTCTATGCTGACCCTGCCGTCTCGCTCTTCATCACCGTCATCATCCTCCGCTCAGCCATCCCACTCACTCTTGCGGCTTCCAAAATCCTGCTCCAGGCGACGCCCGAGCACATCGACCTCAAGCAAATCCGGGAAGATATCCAAGATCTGGAGGGTGTAGTCAGTTGCCACCACGTCCACGTCTGGCAGCTCGACGACACGAGCCTCGTTGCCTCGCTGCACATCCAAGTGGACTTCCCAATTTCCGCGGCCGGCGGTGACAAGTACATGGAGCTCTCCAGGCAGGTCCGGCAGTGTCTGCACGAATATGGAATCCACAGCGCTACGATCCAGCCCGAGTTCTGCCTCGACATGACACACAACCACACTGAGGAGGCCGCGACTTCGCCCCGCCCGGACGACTCGTCGTCTTCACTTCCTGGATGCGGCAAGGCGGATGGGAAGTGCCTGCTTGCCTGCGTGGAGGATTGCTCGGGCCGGGGCTGCTGCGTCGTGCCGGGCGTGTCGAGGCCGGAGAGCGCCCATTCTCATGACGGGGATGGCCATCATCACCACTAGGCCTGGCTGGAATGGTAGTTTCATGATTAATTGATCAGCAGTCGAAAATTTATGAGTTTAGTTCTTGAAGAAATGGCCCCCGTCATTCGTTATTCTGATTATTTTTGAAACCGGACCACGGAGTGGACATGAGAATTCTATCCGAATCATCATTTCTGGCCGATATGTCTGCGTTTCGGCATGCTGCATTACAAAGGGATAGGGGTTTGTCTTAAAAGCGTTACACGGAGCAGCGGAATAGGTGTTATGGTTACACTTGGGTTTGAGGGATCGAATATTGATAAACGTCATCACGTACAGAGCGAGTGAGGGATGGGATACACAAAATATTTAAAGGTTATGGCATCTCTTTACTGTACATGAGGTCTCTGAGCGCCGATATGTCCTTTGAGCATATACAGCATCAGGCATGGAGTAGACAGCAATTTGGCCTTTCTGTGGCCTTATAGGTAACTGAGCGGTTTTAGTGCCACACCAGTTCCCGGCGAGTATGAAACGAATTAATCCACTGCTTCATATAGGGAGTACGATCTGCGAAAACGTCCGGATGAGATTCCATGCCGATGACTACTGCTAATGTCGATATTCTTTTAAATCTATCGAGTCCTGAAATGTATCTCGCATTTCACAACTGGTGAACGAGTTTGGAAAGGGAGCTCCGACCTCGCAACTGCCGTGACGTGCTTGATGATCTGCGCACAAGCCAAGTACCGCGGCTTTGTTCCCGATCTGATACCCGACGCCGCTATCAAGTGCTTATCTTATCTCGAGCTGCCGAATCAACGACAACCTAAGAACTAACTCACCGAATGACACAACCACTTACTTCCATCCAACCCCATCACTTCCTCCATCTCACCGTACAAAAAGGTAGCTGTATCTCGTTAATTACTTGGTATGATGCACGGAAACAAGCTCGTGACATATCTTTTCACATAGATTAAGAGGACGAACATCCACCGATATCCTGAGTTCGACTACCTCTATTACATTCCAAACAAGAAGGACAAACTGATGTACCTCCTTTTGGCCTTGCCCTCTTACATAATATATGCTGCTGAATAATTCTCGACTTTAGTTCCCTTTTTCTTACTTCACTTTGTTGCCTGTCTAGTCGCTCTTTACCACCAATCCCCTTTCAAAGCAAGATGGATACGTCCGGAGAAGCCAATCCTGACCTCGAGTCTTTCCGTGAGCAATGGAGAGCAGAGGTTCGGGCTAGACTGCCAACAACACAAGCTTCATCTTCTTCCCAACAGCAACCACCAGCACCGCCACCGCCACCACCACCACAACAACAACAACCGACACTATCAGCAGCGGAGCTTGCGGCAGAACACCATCTTCACCCCCGGAAACCTCCGCCTGCACCGGCCAAAAAGGCTGCTGCACCACGTCAGGACTACGAAGACGACTATGTTCAGCCGAGGTCTTTTGATGCACCGAACGATGAAGCTGCAGCCGCGTCCACATCGACACAAGGGGAATGGACGGTAAAGAAAACAACAAAGGATCCGGTCACGGCGCTTGATCATTATGAGAAAGCTGTGGAGAGGGAGGCCGCGGGCAGCTTGGGTGACAGTCTGAAGCTTTACAGGAAGGCGTTTAGGGTATGTCTTCAAACTCACGAATTTTACGACATTCTGCCTTTTTATCGATGTCCATTGATTGGCTGACTCAGGGATATTCATAGATGGACGATACCGTGGATCAGAAATACAAGAACAAGTACTTTCCCAAGTCAAAGGCGAAGCCGCTTGCGACGGCTTCTCCTGGTACTGCTGGCGGTGCGGAGAGTGCTGCCACCGCGCCATCGTCAGCGGAACAGCCGCAGACCATGAAGGAGCTGATCAACAGCTTCGCAGGGTTAGCGATCGAGCCGGAAGGTCCTCCTGTAGAAGGGATGCCGCCGCCTCCGTGTCCCATTGCCTCTCTTCCGGAAGAACTTCTGGTTCACATCATGCGTGACGTGGCAATTCTAGATGTTGCTGACTTTGTCCGCCTTGCGCAAGTTTGCAAGAAGTTCGCTTTTTTGGTGGCCACCGAAGATCGAATTTGGCGACGCATCTGCTTGGGCGACGAGTTCGGGTTTGGTAGCATGCATTATCACTGGCAGCGGCAAATCACTTGGGAACCGCTGACGGAGGAAGACCTTCTCACCGAATTTGAGGAGCAAATGCAAGCACAGGAGAAAGCCCGAGCAGAAAAGGCCGCGGAGCTCGACAAGGGCGCTGCGGATGTAAATGATGATGAAAAAACCGCAGAGACCCCAGACGTTTCCCTGCTACTCCCCTTGACCCCCAAACAACGAGCAGAAAAACACGCAGAAGAATCGCGAGCCACCACCCTAGTCTTCTATAAGACCGTCTACAACTCCAGTTGGCTACGCATGTGGCGTCTCCGTCCCCGCATCCGCTTCAATGGCTGCTACATCAGCACCGTGAACTACATCCGCACCGGCCAGGCCAATGCTAACGCCACCACCTGGGGTAGCCCCGTGCACATCGTCACCTACTACCGCTACCTGCGCTTCTTCCGTGACGGCACCGCCATCAGCCTGCTCACCACCGCCGAGCCCGCCGACGTCGTCTACCACCTCACCCGCGAGGCCATGGCGCTGCATGCCGGTAAGAGGCAGGCCGCTAACAACACCGCGCTTACACACCTCCCTAGCGCGCCGATGCAGTACGCCCTCAAGGGCCGCTGGCGTCTGGCCTCGGCGGCGGATAACCCGGCTGCTCCTTTGAATGAGATCGAAGGCGATTTGATTGTTGAGACGGAGGGCGTGGGCAAGTACATATATCGCTTGGATCTGACGCTGAAGTCGGCGGGCAAGATGGGAGCCAAGAACAACAAGCTTGTTTGGAGGGGGTTTTATAACTATGATAGGATGACGGATGATTGGGGCGAGTTTACACTGAAGCATGATAAGCCGTTCTTCTTCAGTCGGGTCAAGAGTTATGGGGCTTTGGGGGAGTAGAGAGAGAGAGAAAGAAAGAGAAAGCTTGGGGATGGTGTGCTTTGTAAAGTAAATAGAAATACTGGAAGACGGTTGATGTTGGAATGGAATAAGATCTATACGATCGAAGTCAAATTGTTTCAGCGGATGACATCTTGGTTAAACCTTCGAGATTCATGAAAACAAAGTGCAAGTAGGTAGGTCTTTGAACTACCATCCCTGATATCAACCATAACGAGGGCAATATGTGTGGCTGTTCCTACCAAGATTTCAAGGGACCTGTAAATACACGTACTGTCATTACACGAAACCGTATTGCTCACCTCGGTCAGCCACACTACGCTGTCGGTATGCATTCTGCCGCATCTCCCCGCCTGTCGGTCCTCCTGGTTGGCTCCCCCTGCCTGCCTCTCTGCAATTCAGCAACTGATTGACCTAAGCTTTGAGAGCTCAGACCCGAGTTCTACTGTCATTGACGACGTCACTTTGATAACTGTACGTACCAAACCTTCACATGAATGAATATACACAGCAAACTGACAAGATCAACCAAGTGTGGTATCTGCGCGGATCTCACCACACGTAAACCTTATAACAAACTCTCCCTGCTCACTTATTAGCAGCAGGAGAAGCTGCAGTTATCTCAGGTCTTGGCATCAAAGCACCTCAAGCACTCAAAAAGATCACTGCAAGAATGGCCGCCAAAAAGCCAGTCAACTGGTGGCTCTGGACCAAGATGCTGCTCGGGTAAGATTTTATTCTCTTCCATGCCTACCTCCTCTCACGTCTCACAAGTCAAATTCAAGAAGAGAGATCTAACAAACTCTTGTTACCCTTAACAAACAGTGGAGCAGCAATCTGCGTCGGCGGTCCTGCATTCACCTACTGGCTCACCCCGACAGACGAGGAGCTCTTCCAAAAGTACAACCCGGAGCTGCAGAAGAGGAGTCTGGAGAGGCGGTTCGAGCGTCAGCAGGAGTTTGATGACTTTGTTACCAAGTTGAAGGAGTACTCCAAGTCTGATAAGCCAAGTAAGGTTTCTTCCTCTGTTCCTTTTGTCCGTCTGTTGGCAATTCTGTTGGAGTTTTCGTTGGGATGGAGATGGAGATGGATAGAGGTGGGGATTTGGATGCGGATGTGGATAGGAAGAAAGAGAGATGGGAATGGGGCAAAGCAAGATGAAGATGGAGATAAGTGAGATGAGTAGCTTGCTAACTTTGACTTTTCTAGTCTGGACGGTTCAGGCCGAGGCCGAGGAAAAGGAGAGACAGCAGCGGGCGTCGGTGCAGAAGAGTCTGGCATTGGCGGATGAGGTGAAGGCTAGGAAGGAGGCTATGAGGCGTGAGGCCGGTCTTCCGCTTGAGAAGTAGTGGTTGGGCTAGCTTACGTTGAGAAGTGGTCACACGTAGGCGGTTTGGGTTGTAACATCATGATTCTGTACAAAACTACTGTGTATTCTAAGATGGGTATTGAAAGAGAAGGCGTTCAAAAGGGTCTTGGGTTTTTAGGACGGAGATGATCAGCTTTTGGTTCCAAGTCCCATGGTCTCGAAGTTGTGCAATATCACGATGTTCTCTGGAAAGACTGCTTGCTGCTTCGATGAAAAGAAATGGAGGGTATAGGACCATCATCTAACCTAAACTATATAGTGAAGCGAACTGTCCCATGTACAACCACGTTGGCAGATATCATCCTATGAGGGACATCATAACAGACGATGATGTCAAGTCCCAAGGTGAGGCGAGCTTACTTTCGCGGTGAACTGGAAACAAGTCAAGGTGAGCACCAAAGCAGGTGGGGTAGAATTTTGATGTGGTTCCGCTAGCTGGACATACGAGGCCCGGCATACAAGACTTATTCCTCAACGTCCAAAAGCAGATGAAGGTGAAGCTCGATATCAACACTATATAGATCGAAGGTAACTCCCGGTGACTGTAGTAGGCTTGTTTACTTGACCGTTTCGAACTATGCCATATAAGCTTAACATGGCGGCGGGGGTGTAGGTAAGAGGAAAGTTTCTTGAAGGACAAGATTTTAAGTATGCACGGGCCAACTGCCCATCCAGCACCGCCGCGAAACGCTCACACATCACCCCTCTTCTCAGCCAGCAGCATGAACCCCCCCCCCAGCCCGCAAGCCCAGAGCCCACACTGCCGCCCACAGGTCCTTGATGAGGTCCCAGCGCCAAACTAACCCTGAGCTCTAAGGTTCACCGAGATCTCCCGCACCTTTCGCTTTTTCCCCACAACAGATCAATCTCACATCCTCTCATCACCAAACAAACCGCCAGCAAAAATGTCGGATGTTCAGGAGCGTTTGAAGAAGCTGGGCGCCTCGGCCCGTATCGGTATGTCGTCGCCCATGTTTTCGCTCTGTAGGATGAGGTTCTGTTCGACAGGCTAACAAAGGTGGTTTCCCTCCGCTTTAGGGTATGTAGAAATTTGAATATCACTCGTCAATCGCTCTCGCACACAACACGCACAAAAAAACGAGCCAGCACCGAATTACCCCTCCATTCTTTCGCGCGCGCCCTCGATTGTCTCCCACACAAAAAACCTACCCCCGCGAGCCCAGCGAAAGGCGATGAGCAACATGCAGATGCAGACAACATGAGAGGCTTTTGATTTCTGACAATGGACTTTTTTTTCGAAATGAAATAGTGGCAAGGGTACTCCCCGCAGAAAGGTCAAGAGAGCGCCTGCCCGCTCCGCTGGCGATGACAAGAAGCTCCAGGCCACCCTCAAGAAGGTCAATGTTCAGCCCATCCAGGCCATCGAGGAGGTGAACATGTTCAAGAGCGACGGCAACGTCATCCACTTCGCCGCCCCTAAGGGTACGTACCAATACGCCCAGTTCCAATTTCGCGATATGGACCCCCCTTGACTGGGCTTGGTCAAAACTCGTTATATATGCAAGAGTGTTATGGCCTACTTAGTCAGGCGGCCTCTTGACATATTGCTACAGCTAAGCTTCAAACGTTGCTTGGGGGCTTGTCTGCTAACAAGTTGTGTTTCTTGTACCACAGTTCACGCCGCTGTCCCTGCCAACACTTTCGCCATCTACGGCAACGGTGAGGACAAGGAGCTCACTGAGCTCGTCCCCGGTATCCTTAACCAGCTCGGCCCGGACTCCCTCGCTTCCCTCCGCAAGCTTGCCGAGAGCTACCAGAACATGCAGAAGAACGAGAAGGACGCTGAGGAGGATGATATCCCCGATCTCGTTGCCGGCGAGAACTTCGAGAGCAAGGTCGAGTAAATTACAAAAAAATAAAATACTCCCTCTCTCTGTTTGATTCCCCCAAAGCGCGGGTTTTCCTATCTTCATATTTGCGGTGACATTTATCATGGCGTGCTGCGTTGGGGAAATCACGGGGTCTCTTCAACCCGTCCTTTAGTTGTTCAATGTCTTCTCATGATGGCATATGAATCTATGTGAAGCTGGGAAATGCTCTTCGGGCGGCAATGTTGCTCTCATCTTTCAGCTCAAAGAGAAAGGATGTTACTTGGTACATGTGGCAACGAGGCGGAAAGACGTGTTTAATTGTCTTCGTCCATCTCGGTTTGCTCCTGGACTCTTACAGAGAAAGACTGCGGTTAAAATGATGGTTATAGGAACAACGCATGCTACATCAGAACGATGTAAATAACCAAAACAAAACAACTGACCAAGCGCTGGAAAAAAGAAAAAGCTTGGCCTCTCGAACCAACATTGGAGAAGTACGAATCAGGAATTGTGTCCCATATGACAACGAGACAAAGATGATGTGGAGACGAGACATGCTGTGCATTCAAGTGCGCAAGTGAAACGTCACTCATTCACGCTTTGTATAGTGACCACGTATCTTCCAGCAATCCTTCTCTGAATCATTCCTCAACACTCCTTTGATTTACTCAAGTGTGAAGCTTCCACCCCCAGTATTCTTCACCCACCCTTTCAACGCCACCCTTTTCGTCTCCTCCTTTGCCCTCCGTCTCCCCTCAAGCAAGCTACTTCCTTCCTTGATCTCATCATAAACAAGGTCCGTACTTCCCAGGACTCGCTTGATCTCGCCATCATCATCATCGAGCGCCATCATCGAACAAACCTCCCTCGCCAAAGTCCACATCTTCCGCCGAGAGACCAGACTCGCTCCCCGTAGATCAAACTGCTTCCGGCCCTGCAACACGCCACCCACCAAACCCTCCCCATCGCGCGGGCCGTTGAGCGTCCATGATGTCGCGAGGTTGCTAGCTATGAGCTTCTTTGGCTTTGTGTCCTTGACGTCTGCCATGTCCGTCATATCTGTTGAGGAGGAATTATTTGGAGGGGGTATAGCCCTCCTAGAAAATGCAAACTCCATCTTCGTCGTCTCAACCCTAAACTCCCGAAAGACATATCCTGCACCCTCCAGCTTCGCGCTCACGCTCGCGTCCAGTAAGGGTGCCATCCGCCCCCCATCAGCAGATGAGGAAGAGAAACAGCGACTACAAGCCACGGCAGAACACTGAGACGCGGGCAAGATGACGCTGGACAGGTATGCGTTCGCAGGCGAGACCAAAGCGCTGGTGAGAGAGGACAGAAGCGAGGTGACTTGTTTAAGGGCAAGTTTGTCGGAGCAGGACTTGGATAAGCTGGGAGGGGCGTCGCCGCGTGAGGGCTTGCGGCGTACGATGCCGAGTTGGGAGAAGTAGGCGCGGCCGGGGAGAGAGGTGTTGTCTGCTGATGCTGGGGTTGGTGCTTGTGCTTGGGTTGGCAGGTCCCCTGGTGTTGGGGGTGGGACTTCCCAGGGCGAGGCGTCGTCTTGGGCGGCCATGATTAGTTCCATGCTTGCGTCCCCGCCTGGTAGATTGGTGTGTTAGTCATGGGCTTCACCGGGGTCGAGTCGTCTCTGGTGAAGGGGGGGTTTGGGCAGCGGGGACACATACAAGGCGCTTCGGAGCAGTACATGTGTAAGCTCACATCTTCCCTCCAGGCGAACGGTTGTCCTTGCCATACTTCTGCTGTTCCTTGCTGTCCTTGGTTTTCATGTTGGGCTGTTGTCCTTCGGTAGATGAACTCGGATTGCGAGGCACCATCCCCCTGAAGAGCGAGGCGCTTACACTCTTCGAGGATGAACCGGTTGAAGGCTCGTATAGCAAGTATCTCGGCGTGCCAGTCATGAATGACCACTCCGTTGGCTTGGGGCAGCTTGGATGCCGGAAGGCACTTCATACCTGTTCTATGACCAACAATCCATCCTTAGCTCCAGCAACAGACTGATCTTGCGTGATCATGAGGCACATTGGACACTTCAGTGGTCCCGGCGGTCCATTGTACGTACTTACGCCAAAGCTACACATTTCAGTCCGTTTGGGCCTAGAGATTGTATCAGTCAGGAGTTTGGATTTCTTCTAGGCATATAACGAGCAGCACCTTTGGCTACAATGCCGGCCATAGGAACCCATTCGTGAAGACCATTGTCGCGGACACTGGGCTTCCGTTTCGCGGGGAGTTTGCTAAACTCTTCAAGAACAGCAGAGGCAATTGCGTCTGCATCAATCATTATAGCTTTGCAAGTTAAGGTCGGTATGTCTTTGACGTTTTCGTATGTTTGCATGCGTTAGAAAGAACAACTTGGGACAGCCTCCAAACTCCTATGAAGACTAAGCACTTATCGTTTGACAAGGGTTGGGGTTAGCCATTGATAACCATTTCTTGACGTGGAAGTACGACAAATCAATGGAGCAAACCGCATGCACCAGACGTAAAACATAAAAATCACACAGCTGTTCAGACGGAATTCCGGAGCGATTAAATGAGTGCACCTTGTTCATGCAACATGCAAGTTATAGCGGTGACGCTTGCGAACCAAAAGTGAACCAGATGCCCGTCGTTCGTTCTGCACTTGTTGATGGTAAATTGGGCTATCGATTTGCTTGAGGATGACGTCCTACAGCCCGGACCACCTGGCAGATAAGTGGCGGCGATTGTTTCTGCCCGCGTTGCCAGCCCGCTGCCAGCCCACTTGAGCCACCCCAGCGCTGAGGTGGACCACATGGTCCGTGCAGCCAGCCTATCACAAGGCAGCCCTATCGCACAACCTCGCTGCGGAAAGAAATTGAGGAAAATCGACGCTGGAACATTGCACCTTCGAGGAAGCATCTCCCGACAACCGACAATCTCGACAGCAAACCGCCACAATGAGAACGTACGACGATACCTTCTCCGGCCAGAGGATCTACCCTGGAAAGGTACGGTTTTTTTGCCCGTCCAAAATGATTTGCGGCTCGAAAATGCTACCGGGATCTGAACCCGTGGGGAATTGGTCTTGGTCTTGGATTTGGGGAGGGAACGACTTTTCGAAAGCAAGCGAGAGATATTGACGGATCTCGTCCCCGCGACGTCGACGATATTCTGATTGAGGGGGATTATGAAGGGCGAGCCAAAACAACAAGAGGAGGGAAACACAGCCACCGTGATAAAAGTGCTGACATGTTTTCTTTGACACCGTTAGGGTAAGCTGTACGTCCGTGGCGACAGCAAGATCTTCCGTTTCCAGAACGGCAAGTCCGAGTCGCTTTTCCTCCAGCGCAAGAACCCCCGCCGCATTGCCTGGACTGTCCTCTACCGCCGCCAGCACAAGAAGGGTATCTCTGAGGTACGCAAGAAACCACATATCCGCACTCGGGCCCATTCTTCTTCCCCCGTTGCGCACACCGTCACCAGCCCCCTATTCTACCGATTCTGCCGAAGCAATATCGAAGACTTCGAGATTATGACGGAGAGGGATATCGCGAATACGGATACTTTGGACGCGCGCGCAACTGGGTGAAGGGGATCGATGGGGGGGAAACCGTTGCGCGAAGCAGATGACTGACACCCATTACAGGAGGTCGCCAAGAAGCGCTCCCGCCGTACCGTCAAGGCCCAGCGTGCCATCGTCGGTGCCTCCCTCGAGGTGATCAAGGAGCGCCGCTCCATGCGCCCTGAGGCCCGCTCCGCCGCTCGTCTCGCCGCCATCAAGGAGTCCAAGGCCAAGAAGCAGGAGACTCAGGCCGCCAAGAAGGCTGAGAAGGCCAAGAACGCTGCCAACCCCAAGGCCCGTGTCACCTCCAAGCAGGGTGCCAAGGGTGCGCCCGTCAAGGTCGCTGCCAAGTCCCGTTAAATGCGGTCTTGTCGGTCGGGGGACACGATGATGTGAAGGGAGAATGGAATGTCTTTACGGTCCTGCGTGGCAAGCTGGAAGGGATACGCGGAGTCGGTCTGGTCGGTTCTCGGTTCTTTTTTTTTGCCTGCACTCAGCTGGAGGGTTTTCGTCTCGTTTAACGAAAACAATACAACAGCTTGGTTTCTGGAAGGGCCGGTTGCATGGATCCCTGCGTCTAACGGATATGACATCAAACGCTTTGCATGGGTAGCTTAACAGAATGCCGACTTATGCATTGGTCAAGGACGAACAAAATCCATAACCCACCTCCCTGTGATACTAGGGAGGCGAGAGAAAGTTTTGGGGCCGTTGGGACGAAGAAACAGGGATCTGGCAATCATAATATAACGCTGCGCTTCAGCGGGCAAAAGGCATATCACGCGGCTTCTATTCTCTGTACCTCGTGATACTCTATCAAGCAAATACCCAGTTAAACAAGAGTATCCCGCGACTATCATCGCGTTCCCCTTGACATTTGTTTTGGTTCCCATTACTTCTCTACTTGGTGTGGTGGGTAAGTCTAATTAGGTGAAGCAGGTATTGAACACATATTGTCTGTGCAAAAAAGTGCTGTGCCTGGCAGGGTGGTTTTTACTTTTGCTCGCAACCACAGTATATGAGTTTTGCCGGTGTTGATGATTACTGTTTGCCTTTGTTTTGTTTCTTTGCCTTGGCTTTTCCAAGCCCCCTTTTCTCTATTTAGAGCTTAGCCAGGACACCGTCGGCACCAGTGTTGGCGATGCTCTTAGGCACCTCATCCAACTCGGCGTAGGTAACCTTGCCGTGGTCGATGACAATAGCATAGCGCTTGGTGCGGTCACCCTGGGTCCAGCCGATGGTCTTGCTGAACTTGCAGTCGGCATCGGACATGAAAAGCTAAGCATTCGTTGCGTGTCAGTTACGTGTGGTTTGGGGTTGGGGGTGGGGGGAGGGGGGGAGCAGGAGGGACATGATTCATTACTTACAATAGACTCATCTTTAACACCGTTGGCCTTGCCCCAAGCGGCCATTACCCACGCATCGTTGCTGGCAATGAAGATAATTTGGTCGACGCCCTTGGACTTGAACTCCTCGAGCTTGGCCAGATACGAGGGGACGTGCTGCTGCTGGCAGGTGGGGGTGAAGGCACCAGGAACGGCGACGAGGACGACCTTCTTGTTCGCGAATTCTACGTCGTGGGTAAGAGATTGCGTTAGTATATAGATGTGGAGAAAAAAACAAGTCAAAGATGATGTGAGGGATCCTTGTGAGTGAGCCATGACATGTTTACTTGCCTTTGCTGGCATCATACTGAATGGGAAGACCGCAGACGGTAAGGTCTGTGTCACCGCTGGGCGCGACGTAGGTGAAAGTAACACCTTCGGGGAAAGAGTCACCGGCCTTAAGAGCAGACATTTTGTTGAAAAGGGGTTTTTAGATTGTGAAGTTCGTGAGATTTGAGCTTGCTGTCCTTGAGAAGAGAAAAGTGCGAGATTCTTTTGGTTGGATTCGAAGCTTGAGGTGAGCTTATAAGCGGAGGAAGCCGATGTATTGTTATCAGATCGTATCTCCAATCACAGCGGGGTCCTGCTCGCTTTTGGAGGGGTTCTCCGTTCTCCGGAGGTTCGGCGGGAGGGCGGGCAGGAACCGCTGCGAAGCCTCCAGTAACATCAACCGGAAGGTATCGAACAGTGGAGACTGATCAATTGCCCTGGAAAGGGTGGCCGTTAAGGTGCCCTTTCTCAGTGAACGTCAATAACTTCCAGGGTTTGCGATTTCTGTCCATTGTCACGCTGGAATGGGACAGACCTCGGGGGGCCCGGGGATTGTTGCCTTGGATTGCGCGATCGCCGGGCTTCATTGCATGTGCCAAAATCAGAACTGAAGCGACCGGATGGCCTCTTGTACTTATTCTCTTTTCCAAGTTCCAGAAACTTGCAATTTGCATTTGGCCGACAACACAACAACTTGAATTCTCCTCGAGATCCCTCATCTCCGACAACGGCCTTTCCCTTCCCACTCCTCTTTCCTTTTGCGCCGTAATTGAGAGAGGGGGAAACTCAAAAGGCGAGTATGACCTGGATATTGCCCGGACTTCAGGCAAGTGAGGGACCTTGATGTCTCTATAACCCGTCATTGTAGAAACACTTCTCCCGGATCTTCAGGCCACGAACGCTGGTGGTCCTATTATTGGAGATAGTCATAGGTACATTTTTTACCTGTCGCTCAAACTATATCCCCTGAACTATATCTTCTCGTTTGTTACTATACTAAGAGCTTGCCTCAAAGAGGTGTCCGGCACGGAGCTGTAGCGGCTCGCTTCGGAACCCCACCAGCTCGGATCGTTCTATGACTACTGTCTGCCGTCAGCACGTACGACACGGAATTCATAATCACTGGACTACGATGACCTTTGATTAAGTTGTATTAAAGCCAGGTGTTCACATGGTTTTCTTGTTTGTTTGATAACCTTGCATTTTGTTTGAAATATCCGAGAGAAAATTCACCCTCTTGTTCTATGATCATTCGAGTTCCACTGTTACCCCTGTTTTGATAATACCTTCCCTATTCTTCAGCCATCGCCATGACAGCTGAGTCAAAGCCCCCATTTCCGCCGTCCACGACCGAGACAGCTCGGATCAAAGTCAAGGCCGCGCAGGATGCATGGAACACGAAGTGACTATCCCTTCGCTATTTTCTTGAATCCGATTGCCGTTGGCTGACTTTGGTCGAATTCAAGAAATGCGGAGGCGGTCCAGATGGCCTACACTCCAGACTCCATCTGGAGAAACCGCGATACGTTCCTGCAAGGGCGCCAAGAAATTGTCGAGTTTCTGAAGAACAAGTGGTCAATAGAGAAGGGATATCGCTTGAGAAAGGAGCTGTTTGCTTTTACAGACAACAAAGTCAGTCATTATTCCTTCCTGGTGGCGGCGGCAGGTCAGAAGTAGGATTGCTGCCCAGAGCTAACTGCCATGTCTACTGAAATCAGATCGCAGTTCAGTTTTGGTACGAGTGGTATGACGCATCTGGTCAGTGGTGGCGGACATATGGCCTTGAGGACTGGACCTTTGCCGACGATGGTCTCATGAGGAAGCGGCAGATGAGTGGGAATGATGTGAAGATTGCAGAAGAAGAGCGATGGTTCAAGGAGGGTGTCGATGTCAACGAAGTTGCAATTACTGAGCAACACTGGTAATTGACTTCCATGACGAGAAGCTGCAAGGTACGGCCTACAAAGTTTGGCATATGGCAAGTCCTGGTCCGGGTTTTGGTGGGAAGGCACATAGACCAGAGCTTTCAATGTATGACCGAGCATAGGTGTGCAAGAACTTATGGCAGGTTCCTATCTACCATTCACTACAACACCGAAAACCTGAGCCGGGTGGTGGGATCATCCTACGAAAGTGTCAGTTGGGTAGCCAACGTTATCGACGTCCTCTTCCGTCCGAACAATTTCAGCGAGACTAACCCACAATCTCCTGGGTTTCAACCCCGCTGCTCTTGATGTAGTCCAATTCTACTTGCTCCCATCGAAAAACGGTAGCTACTTTGGGAACCAACAAAAACCAGGGGTTTTCACAATTATTTCAATATGTCGAAGAACGGAAATTCACAGCTCAAGCCCAGCCCTAGGTCGGTACACTCGCGATTCAGCGCGGCATCTTTCTGCAACTTGACCGACTCGAACAGTATTTGGGATATAGCTCCTCCGGGCGTGAATTTGAAACTGGCGGAATGGTCAGCCGATCATTTTCAGCGACGTGGTCGGCCTCTGAGAGTCGCTATCGATGCACATTGCTGGCAAGTTTACTTTGAGAATGATTGCAAAGTCGACTGGCTACGCAAAAGTTTGTTACCATGGGCGTCCATAACTAGACTTTGGCGATGCAAAATGCTGACATCTAATTCCACCAGACTCTCGCGAGGTTAATGCGGTCGAGAAAACGATCATGTACCAGATTATGACCTTGCTGGAGCTGAGCATACACCTTCTCTTCGTCTTTGATGGCCCAGATCGCTACAGCCAATACGAACCAGATCCAAATCCAATCAAGCCGGAAAGGATACGTTTGCTGAAAGACATGTTAAACTATCTAGGCGTCCCTTTCCATCAGGCACCTGCGGAAGCAGCACCCACATGTGTCAAACTCCAACATCTAGGTGTTGTTGATGCCGTTTGGACGCACCACAGCGCAGCTCTCACATGTGGATGCCGAGAGATTGTCATGTTCAAAGAGCAGCACCGACACTGGAAGGGTGCAGGGTTAAGTAACGAGTCCGCTAACAAGCGCGATGCTCTGGCTTTGCTGCAACAGTGGGATCTCGACCAGCCAAGTCTCATACTAGGGCTCCTGCTTGGAGGATGCGAATATTCAAAAGGCCTTCCGGGAGTCAATCATGAGGCTGCCCTCGAAATTGCCCAGAACGCCAAGCAGCTGGCTGGAACAATGTGTGATGTCTTCAGTGATGATGGGAACAGGATGGAGAGGAATAAATGGTTAGTCACACTTCGATTCGAGAACTCAGAAAGCCGACATCGCTGACATCTGGAAGGCAAGCACGTTTCCGGGCCTTTCTTAAGGACAACGGCTATCACTCCGTGGCCATTCCAAATTGCTTCCCCGATCCGAAGGCAATTGAGCGCTACCGGAGTCCACCTGTGCGTTCAGAAGAAACGTTGCAAAATCTGCTCTGCCTCCGACATGGATGGACACGGTCGTTGTCAGGTAATCTCGCTGACATCTGCCAATTTCTCAACCGGCACTTTCAGTCTTACCCCTCCATTAAATGGCCTATACGACACCTAACAGGGCTCGAACTCAACCACAAACTGCTCCAAGGTACGTTGAGGGACGCTCCTCAAGCATGTGAGGGCATCAAAATTCCTGCTACACTAGGGAACGGCATTTGCTGTAACGTCACCGTGTCAGCAACGATATTTCTCCCAGAATTGACCAAGATCTACGATATGTGGTCAACCCACGAAATCAAATGTAGAGTTTTGTCTTGTGTTGTTCAGAAAGGACTACACCCTGAACGGTTACCACGTCCCAAGCTTCAGAACAAGGGTCTGGTAAAACACAAGAGGAAGATTGCTGAGCCTGGCCCAGAAGACACCACAAAGCAGAGTAAGAAGTCCAAAGTACCAGGTGTTGATACACCAGTCGGAGCAATTACACAGCTGGCTCCAAGAACCGAAAAAAGCGTCAAAACACAAAGCGAGAAGGTTTCTTCATTGCCATGGCAATTTCGCATCCCGCCCTTACCGCATGGTTTAGGGTTTTCTCAACCACGACAGTCTCCAGTCGAAGCTCCATGTTCGTCGAGTCTAGAAGTCCATGACCTGTTATCTCAAGACTAATCGGAGTGGAGTTATCGAACCGCGCAAAAGACAGTGAGATTTCCATAGTTCGAGCTCCAATTCTGAACTTGAAAGGGGACATAGCAGCGCAGAAAAGAAGGAACAATCTTACAAAGTCTCGTGCTTATGCGCCAACTCAGCAGAAGATGAAAGTTGGGATAACTAACTTGCCTAGAGATCACGAGCTCACCCCGTTTAAGACTGACAAACTGAACGAGCAGAATGACTCGGAACACAACTTTACGATTCATTTACCAGCAACCAGGTAACTGGGACGGCGCTTGGACCTTTTGGCCCTAAAAGAGTGGGGAACTGACCTCTGTTCGAAATTGTGGCGAGCCTGTTTTGATAACGATCACCATAGTCCCTGCTTGGGAGTTGTGGTTCTGTCAAGGGTGCGTTTTACCAACAGGGCGGCTCGGACCGTCCCGCTGGGAAAGACAGGGGCTTGGAGCATTCCTTCGGGTACATAGTCGGGCTCACCGGGTACGCAGGTTGCAGCATCACGGGCGTTGATTACTCGAAGCTCTCACATATTTATTAGGAAGAGGAAAGAATTTGTGAAAGAAATTACCCTGTAGTGAGGGGCTTGCGGAAATTTAGATGTTTTGGATGTTATTTGATGATTCTGCGGGTAGTAGGCGGTCGCGGGGAGGTGTCAGAGCAAAGTGTTGAGGACACTCTAACTTCAGGATGTGCATCATATGTAGGCATATGAGCCTCTGGTAGATGATGGCCAGTCGGTTGAAGAGCTTTCAGTACGATGCATTTTCAGGAGGACAGTCATATGACGCCTCTGCATCCCCCAGGTAAAGCGTTTGGTCTAAAGCATGTGAGCTTGTCAAGATAGGACGTGGAAATGTGTTCCATAAACAACAAAACCATCTAACCCACCGAGCAAAGCAGTATATCAGTAAATGACAGGAAAAGCAAGAATATTCTTTTGATAAACTACACAAGCTTTTGATTTCATAACCGGCCAAGAAACTGCTTACACAAAGTCAGTTAACTGAGATAAGGTAAACGTCAAAAAGGTTTGCTGTACTGGGATGTTTCCGGTAGGTATGTGATAGTGGTAAAGTGCTCGTAATCCAAGAAAACAAACCCCGGTTTTACCCCAACTCAGACCCTCATTTCCAGCCATGCCCCCGCCAAACCATTAAGTTGCATAGGTAATCTTGTCGAACGAACAGCACTGTCCCAGCTGCCATTGACTTCACAAAAGTACTACGCATTTTGATCATCAGGTATACCATTAAACCATGAGACCACTCGGTCCGCCCCGTTGTGGCATCGGAGCTACATAATGGACCTTGATGTGCCCGCCGGTGCCTGGGCCGCCAGGTCCAATCTAGGACAGCGCAGGGCGGGCGGGGTTCATTGTCATCTGGTGTTTGGGAAGAAGAGGGCCGGCCGGGCGGCGGCGGCGGCGGCGGCGGGAACGATAGCAGGGACGGTGGCTTTGTTATGATCAGGTTCGAGCGACCAGAAAGAAGTAAAACCAGCTGAGAGCGGCTTGGCGATGGGAGGAATCTCAAGCGGTCTCCATGAGTTACTCTGGGGAAAATTCGGGCTTCCTTTTTCACCCTGTTGATGTACGTTGCCCTAGTTTTCCCCTCTGAAACAGAAGAATTTTATAGAATAACCAATAAGTTAGAGAGTCTCCCATTGAGACGATTGATGCGGCGAAGACAAACAGGCGGGAGAGCTGAAAGAAACCTGAAAGAAAGAAGGGAACTAAATTAAAACGACGTTCGAGCAGAACAGCTTTCTGTGGCAGCTAGCTGTAGCTTCAGGCACAAGCACACGCGCCCGCGCAGACAAACAATGGACTTTACCGTACGCAGTATACTTGTCTTGAATCACAACCTAACCAGGTCGGCCAAAACCCCCCAGAACGAACATCGACCGTGGAGAAAGAGGGGAAACAAGATGGAAAAAGGAAATCAGGACAAGTAAGCGAGCACGAAAAGGCGACAAGAAGCAAAGGGATGTCTTACCTCGGATGTAGTCCGAGCGAAGCGAAGTAAGACATTAGTGTACATCGACATCCGTGCTGGGCCCGACTGGGGCACTGGGCGAAAACAAGGGTCCAGGTGTCTTTTGAGATATTGTTCTAGAGGATAAACTTTCACTGCGTGGTTGTGCACCATGTGTTTGGTTCAAAGGCTCCACGGGACCGAAAGGGTGATTTGACTAGTCCGGAGTCCATGCACAGCACTCCCTCCGCCGGTCCACCCTGCGGGGAGCTTATGCTCCGGAGTATCCCCGAGATATTGTCCATGGTGATTTGCAGTCACCGGCCTCCATGTGTCATGGAGCTGGCTGAACGTTGGTGAAACAAAGGGGATGGGGATGGGGATGAATGATCAACAGCAGAAGTCTGAAAATACGCAGCCAGTGTGAGGGAGTGAAGGAGCGAGGAGCAAGTGAGCGAGTCTGTTCTCAAGACAAAAGCTATTCGCCTCAGACATTGGTGTTTTGCTGTTCCAGAAGCGGGAGAGACAAAAGTGAATCCATTGGAGCTCTTGTCAGCAGCCAGCTGCTGTGGTGCAACCACATTGAAGTCTTTCAAGGTATGTAGGTCGAGAAAAAGGAATATGTGCTGCAGCCACTATCAATCACCGAGGCCCTTCGGGGCCTCTGAGAGTCTCCCTGGAAAAAGTGAACCCCTGATAGGCGCAGCAGATTCGTGCTGCCGCCCCGCCGATCAAATTGCGTATGGACCGAACTCTGGACGGGGAAAAAGACCATTCGGGTTTCATGGCGAAGGGGACGGAGCAGCTTCATGTCGGATGTTCTTGGCGGGAATGGATGCGTAACGTCGGTGTCGAGTATGGCTGTCATTGTTGCATGTTCGGGGGCGGTTGGTTGGCGGCAGTGTGATATTCAGGCGTGGTTGGAGTGTGCTAACCCATATTCCCTTTCCATTAGGTGTACTCCTTGACATCATGTGTCTGAAAGCAATTCCTATCTCTTGGGAGACATTGACATCCTGTCTTTCAACTTTTTAAGATTATCTTTCGTGTCCGAGCACAGCACGGCGACTAACCGGATGACGACCTTGTCGTTTCCAGCAGATACAATTGGTCCCTAGCTGTTGTTTGGTCCACAAACAATGGAGGGAAATGCCAGTACCCAGTTCCACGGCACCGGCACTTTAGTCCTGACGAAGGGCACCATTGAAAGAGGCCGGGCTCCGCTCCGATCGGGCTTCATCTTAAGGGATCCCATTCCCAGTGAAGGGTCGCATCGAAGATCAAAAAGCCATTCCACCGATCTTCAACCATAGTGAAAGCTTTCTCGGGTCGGACGTTGCTACGACGTGGTTGAAGTCATCGAAGACTTCCACTTCGCCGCAGCGCTGCCGTAACAGTGACAAACGACGACGGAAGTAAATTCTCGAGGAATGCCCGTGCCTGACTTGTCGACTTTTTCTGGGAACAATTCGATTTTCTCCGCTCTCATGTGCGCAATCATAGCAGATGCATGTCATAATCAAAACGAAAAAAAAAAAAAAAAAAAAGACTGTGCGTAAAACCTCAAGAGCGGACTTCGAGAGCCAAGCCGGCCGGGTGTCCCGAATCCCGCCAATCACGAAGTCGCCAGACAGCCTCATTACGGTGATACTTTCCCTTTGCAGCTTAACAGCCCAGTGTCGATATTCCCGATGTTTATTGCTTTTGATCGAGAAGGGCGTAGTGAAAAGCTGGTCCTTGGATCGTCCGCGACAATGGTTGGTTTGTGGAGGAAAATCTTGACGCCCTAAACCCATTTGTTCCTGATACGTAACGCCTCCTTCGCCAGCTCGCGCGTCGAAAAGACACTGATACCAAATTATACTGCTTCGTTGAATGCGCCACGCATGCTGATATCGCCATGTGGTGTACTGTCAACAGCATTGGAAGCCCTCTTGCCCTGACTTCGAGAGGGGTCCAGGTCTCAAAAAAGCAATGGATTCAGGCCTGGCAGACCAATTAGGGGCTGACGGCTTGAATAGTTTTATGCCATGTTCTTGTTTTTCTCGTACCCGTTTGTCATTTTCGACATCCCGCTTCCGCCCACCCTGGAGTGCCTGGTACACATGGATGGATGATGCCTGATCAAGATCGAGATTGACGAAGGCGATCTCTAGTTAGGATTTGCTCCAGGACAAGACGATACTATATAAACAATTAGCCTCTCCTTCTCTTTTGTTTTGCCTTACCCCTTCATGTTATCGCTTGGAGATTTGCAGCACGACATATTGGCACCCTATCGCCTCAAAACCCCAAACCCAGTGGCGAGTGTTCCTCCATCAACAGCAGTCCAACCTCCCATCACGATGGGTCTCCTACCTCTCACATACCGACGTCCAGCTTACGTCGACAAGAACAACAACTCACTGAGTGACGAGCCCAGCACCGGCCAGAACACCATCAGCAACTCCCCTGCCAGAGACAGTGAAGCAGGATCAGAGAAGACAGAACCAAGCCTGAGGCCAGTCAACCCGGGTAGCATCGCAGGAATCCCAACAGCATTGAGCTTTGATAAAATTATCGAGGGGGGAACATGTCCAGTCAGTGCTTGATCCTGCCTCACATTAAGACAGACCAGTGGCTGACTAGCCGTATGTAGCCATGTACCGTCCGTGACTTTATGAACTACCTGATATACGTGGAGCGGTCAGCTGAGAACTTGCAATTTTTTTTGTGGTATCGTGACTACATGAAGCGCTTCGAGCAAGCCAAAACGTGGGACCTTGCTCTTGCTCCAGAATGGACACCGGCCATGGAGGAGGAAGCCATTCAGAAGATTCAGAAAGAGCAGGCTGAGAAGGCCCGCAAGAAGCCGAACTGCAAAACAGGAGACGTGACTGTCGAGATATTCAAGGGTACTGATTTCGAAAAGGGGTCGACCCCAGTCTTGTCCAGTCCAAGAGGCCGAAGTACATCAGACTTACCCGAGGGCACTCGGATGGGCAGCAACAACCCGTTCGGAACGCCGCCGGACACTCCGCGTGGCTACCACCAGGAGACGTTTTCCTCCGAGTATAACGGGTCCAGTATGGCGACAACGTACCGCACGCAAGCGAGCGATGCCTTTGCCACAGCAGGCATCAAGCCACCGTGTAAGCATACGTCTCCTGCTCGTTTTTTTTTTTTTTTTTCCGAATTTTCATATGCCACACTCCCACGGAGGCATGATATGCATGCGATAGCTGCTGTCGAATACCGAATCGAAGGGGGCAATGTTGACTGACGGAGAATCCAAACCAAACAGTCACCATACAACCCTTCCGAAAAGAAATCGACCGTGTGATCGCCACTTATATCATGGACGACGCGCCCCGGCAGCTGAACCTCTCCGACAAGGAGCAAAAAGCCGTACTTCAAGCGCTTGCACACACGACGCACCCGTCCGCATTCCGCATCATCATCACGCCTATCGAATCCGCGCTGCGTCGTCAGGCGCACCCCAACTTCATCCGCTGGTCCATCTGCAACGGCAACCCGGCGCGCGTCTTCTTTGCACGGGGGCTCGGCGTCGCGCTCATCCTGATCAGCACCATGGTCGCCATCGTGCTGGCTTTGTCCAACGCGGGCCGCGGCTACCGCGCCCTGGCGGCCATCGGCTGGGTGCTGGGCACCTCCACGCTGATTGCGGCGTACAAGGGTATGTGCGTGGTCCTGCACGGGTTGCACCACCGACATATTCGTCCGTGGGAGCTGTTCATGGCGGAGGAGGAGGATGGGGAAGAGGGCAAGGCGAAGCGGTCGTTTGATAGCTTCGGGTCCGGCAACAGCTATGAGGACGAGCCGTGGCTGGTCCGGTACCAGCAGCGCAACGTGATCCGCAAGATCTTTGATCGAGAGGTGTGGATCCAGGAGCCCATGCTTCGCCAGATTCAAGACACGATTGCGGTGCAGAGCATGTTGTGCGCCGTGGTGCTGTCGGCGATCCTGACGGCCATCTTTGTCGCCGTGCCTGGAGGGGACTTGTTTTGAGTATCTTGAATTTCTTACAATGTTTTTCAGATATCTGCTATGTATGGTTCGTTAAAATGATCGATCTGATAACCGGATTGAGGAATGGGTCAAGACAACCTCAAGACTGTTTGCATCAGTGGATGACGGAAGCTTACCGTGTGAAAATGCGGGGTGGTCTTCCACTGTCCTTTCTGGGTTCGGACGTGCGGGAACCCCCGCCATTATGCCGCCGGCTTGTCGGCTGTCATCAAATCACCTTTCATTCCCCGTTCGATTCTGTCCCCGCTCTGGGGAAAACGTAAACCGATTTCGGTATTTTCGGCGCTGTGGAGTCGACGTACCTGCGCCGAGCCGAACCATTTCCCCACAGTCGCATGTCGGAGCATCAGGCATGTTCCCCTCCGGTGCAAGGCTTATGTATCATGACCTTCTTTTTTTATCGGCGGGTTATTTCTTTTTTCTTTGGCTTACGCTACACTCTTTGTGGGTCGATGGTTGATGGACGAAACCGGCGGGCTCTATGGGGTTATTCTGGGGGCTTGTGCACAAAATGCTGGAAGGGCGATTTGGAATTCTGTTTCTGTCGGTCTTGATTTTGGTTTGTGTCGGAGTCGGAGTAGCTTGTGCTAAGTCGCCAGGATGGCATTGATGATTACTGCAAGCTGTGGAGGAGCAACACGAGGAGGAGGGATGGACGGCAGACAGCACAGTAGGGCTAGAAAAATGGGCAATACGTAATGATCCTTCAAAGTGTGGTTTCACATATTACATGCCTTTGCTGGTTTTAAATAAATAAGCGGATGGCTAGTTGCACCGTTGCGCTGAGTGGTGTTACTTACATGTTCCCATCTGCCCGGGAGGGATCTACAATACAAGTACGGAACCGGTTGTCGCGACGCTCAGGCTGACGAGAGATAGGTGGCACGGAAGACGGCGCAGACGAAGACTTGAGTAGCAGGCTCGGGTATTTGGAGGTCAGACCATGCTAGTGACCGTTTCAATCGTGAAATCCAGTCCAAAGTGAACATGCGATGACAATGTGACGCCTGCACCCTCCAGACGGAAGGATCATGATGTGCAATGTCTCGGGCGAAAGGATTCACAATCGTCACGGTATTTGTTGGGGTTTTCGTAGACAGGGTTGGAATCGGCAGGACTAGGCCTGCAAGCCATGGGATGTTGATGTGGATCCTCTTCTTGCAGTAGCACCTTATCGATAACCCGTGCGGCCGTTTTTGTGGCCCACCTCTGACTACACAGTAGATCACCACCAAAGACACCCGGGATATGATCTACAATGTAGTTTTCAGTATCCCTCCTCCTTTAAAAGGTCTCTGACAAGTCTGTCTCGTCCAAAAAGCGCTCTCCGAATGGCCGCCCTCAAAGACACATTCATGCCTCCTTGAACCGCTCTTGTTGTTCTAACCTCAACCTACCCTTTTTCTCCGTGTTGTGAACAACAACAGATACAACATGTCGTCAGAGAGCAACCAAGCCGAAGCCGAGGCTATTGCTCCCCACCTGCAACAACCATCGTCGCGACCACAAGCCGACCACCAACAACCCGAATCTCGCGACCCAGAGCTGAGGAATGACGGCCTACCATCGCAGACCGGCCAATTGACCACTCATCTCTCTCCGAACGCTGCGCTTACCACTGCTACAACGCCTACCATTACCAGCCCTGAGATTGCGACTGCGTCGACTCCTGTCACAGCCTTGACCTCCGCGACAACGTCACCCCCATCAGCCAACCGCCAGCGCGCATCTACTGCTGGTCCAATTGAGCTCGACACTGCTTTGAGCCATCCGGGCTCTGTTCGCATCAATGTCGAGGGCGCATTCATCGTTGAGCACGGCAGCGCTTCGCCGCCACAGACACCAAGTGGAAGCAGCAGCCGCGGTGGTTCACCAAACCGTCAAGAGTCTAAGGACATCAGACTACCGAACCACACTGCGATAGTGAGCCATATCGCTGTTGATGTATGGATACGCTTTCACAATTACTTCCCGTTGATATCCTATCGGACGCATTGTTAATGGTTGATACCTCGGATAGATCGGCGGTTCTTTGGCTAAACTGGTGTACTTCTCCCGCGAACCTCACTCCACGGAACCAGGTGGACGCCTCAACTTCGTCAGCTTCGAAACCGACCACATTGATGATTGTCTCGAGTTCATGCGCGCCCTCAAGCACAAACACCAAATGCTCAATGAGTCTAACATTGGCCCCGAGCTGTGCGTCATGGCTACGGGCGGTGGCGCATACAAGTTTTACGACATGATTCGCGACGTTTTGGGAGTCGATGTCATCCGTGAAGATGAGATGGAGTGTCTGATAATAGGTATGTCATTCATGCATACTAGCATGGAAACTATTGCTAATAGGCATAACTAAAGGACTCGACTTCTTCATCACTGAAATCCCCCGCGAAGTCTTCACCTACTCAGAAGCAGACCCAATGAACTTCGTCGATCCCTCTACCCACAGATATCCATACCTCCTGGTAAATATCGGGTCCGGAGTCTCGTTCTTAAAAGTAACAGGGCCTCGGGACTATCAGCGTGTGGGCGGTACATCACTCGGTGGCGGCACGCTTTGGGGCCTGCTAAGTCTCCTCACCGGAGCTCGTAGCTTCGATGAGATGCTAGATATGGCATCCAAGGGTGACAACAGTAAAGTCGACATGCTGGTCGGCGACATTTACGGCACCGACTATGGCAAGATCGGCCTCAAGAGCACTACCATTGCCAGCTCTTTTGGAAAGGTGTTCCGTTTGAAGCGACAAGCCGAGACGGAAGCCGAGGACAGCGGTGGACTTAGCCCGGTCGACGTTGACGAGGTGCTATCCAGCGCCACCGAGGCCGGCGGCCCCTCTACATCATCAACAACTTTGCCTGGCAACAAGCATTTCTCGAGTGCCGATGTCTCGGTCTCGTTGCTGTACGCGATCAGTAACAACATTGGACAGCTCGCTTATCTGCAGAGCCAGATACACGAACTCAGCAACATCTACTTCGGTGGGTCCTTCATCAGGGGACACCCGCAGACCATGAACACGCTCAGCTACGCCATTAAGTTCTGGAGCAAGGGCGCCAAGCAGGCTTACTTCCTCAGACATGAGGGCTACCTAGGAGCCGTCGGCGCGTTCCTCAAGCGGCAGCCTCAGAATTGGGGCCGTAGGGGAAGCTTCGATCAGGCTACCGCCATGGAAGCGCGAATGAATGCTCGGACGAGAACGAGGGACGTTGACAATGAATAATATCGATGTTTGTTACCGTCGGTTTGCCATGTCCAGTGTCTCGAATGGGAATTGAGGATGAAGAGGAAGAAAAGCGGATACCCCGTCATAGAGAGAAGGATGTAAAGGTTCTTATTCAGGTTCAAATGTTTTTAATATCTTCATCGCTGGCGTTGGATTTGTATCTCTATTTCTTGTTCGATGGGTGTTCTCATCCCAGATGATACACGACGCAAGCGCAAGCTTTTGGTTTTTGGGGGCAGCCTTTTTTGGTCATTATTGTATATTCTTTCTAGTATTTGTATCGTCAGCGCTCGACGTTGGGCGACCCATTTTGTTATGAGATACCTGGATAAGCTTTGGAAGCAGCGCGAATCTAGAGAAGAAACAGTCACATAATTCCTATTGTTTTCGAAATGCTGCAACCGCCTGAAAGCTTTGGTGAGTCCAACTGTTCATCAGGGAACATTTCCATGATTGCAGATGATAGAACGGGCGCAGATATTGGATCCCATCGAAGAGAAAAATAGAAATAATGTTATAATATCTAGTGCCGAAATCAGCATAAGAGATGAATCACATGGTGAAGTTGCCTTCGCCTTGGATCGTTATAAGCCGCGCACTTTGCCGCCTCCGGAACTGTACCTCATCTTCACCTACACCTACACATCCACCGTCAAGACTTTGTATCTGATCTAATCAGAATCAAGCACATCACCAATATGAAGACCCCGGCTCCTTCCGATGACATAAGTCCGTCCACCCCGCCATCCGTCGATGCAGACACTTCAAAGTCGTGGCGCTGCCCTTCCACATTCCATCGACGTCAGCTTCGCTATAGCCGTTGCCGTTGCCGCAGTCTTATAGTCACAGTCGGCATGTGATTTCAGCTCCTGTCGTATCACTTCAAAACCCTTTTTTTGACGAAATGCCAGCCTCTACGTGTTTTCGACTTTTTGACTTCGGCTTGGACTTGGACTCCCGACTCCCGACTACCGACTCCCGACTACCGACTATACCAGAACCTCAATGGCTCGTCATCAATCGATCGATTTCGTGACGTTCGAAAGTTTAGGCCTTGACGACCTTCTTAACCTCCTCCTTAACGTTTTCCTTGACCTCCTCAGCAGCGGCGGGGAGGGTCTTGTTCTTTTGGGATTGTTGCCACATGAGGATGCGGGAGACTTGAACGACACCGACGATGCCAAGGAAGAAGTTGACGGCGGCGAGACTGTGAGAAAACAAGAAAAGTTAGTTCTGGGTTGGGTAAAAGAGAGTAGGACTGTTATATTGGGGGAGAAAGAAGGGATAGGTATGGACCAGGAGATGGACGTCAAGATGGTATTGGTGGTGGTGATTGTTGTTGGGAATGGGATGACGTAGGTTTGTTGGTAGGGTCAAAACGAAGGGCGACAAGATGGAAGAAGGAAAACGCACAGGTAGTTCTTGGGCTTGATGATCAAGCACCAGCGGGTCCAGATGAGACCGGTGGCAGTCAGGGCGGCGTTCTGGGTGAGCGAGAGCTTCTCGGCCGGGCGCGCAAAGTCGGAGATACCTGCGAGGACGAGACCCCATTTCATGACAGGGGCCCTGTTGTTTTTTAAATGGACATGGATTAGCCTTTGCTCTTGCTCATTGGAACGCATCTTTGTCCGAATCTTTTTTTTTAATGTTGATCATTGCGTTGTCGTTGTTGTTGTTACTGCTGCTGTTGCGCCGACTCCAAAAGGCCTAAAAGGTTCCTCAACAAAACAACATACCAGAAGTGCACCGTCTTGAAGCCAACCGGGCTGTTCCACATGCGCTTGAAGAAGGACTCTTGCGCCTGCTCCGAACTCGCTGTGCTCTGGAAACGCTTGCCGCCATTGCGGGCGGCGTTGGAGGTGAAGAAGGTGTTGCGGAAAACGGGGCGCGCCGCGCGGAAGAAGTTGTTCATCGGGGCCATTGTGCCGGAGGGGACTTGCGACTCGACTCGAGGTGGGATGGTTTGGGGATGGGATGTCCGAATTGAGTCTCGAGGAGGTTTGGACTTCTTAGGGCGCCGGGGCGAAAGTGGATTGGAGCTGAAAGTGGAGCTCCCAAAGTCCGGTCTGAATTTCGGAGTCGGCGACTTAGTTAGTCAGGGACTGTACATCAGTACAGAGTGAGCAGCACATTCAATATTGTTCGTTAACAGCCCGCCCCGGGCCACCTTATCGGTACATAACAGAATCTCATGCACGCACCTTGAAATGGTGCAAACTTGATGAGCGCGATGGTCTTGAAATCTTTTCAGAGCACTTCTTATCTGACCAATATTCTAAGCTGAAGACGCTGAAGGTTTTCGACGAGTCATCATTTCGTGCCCAGGGCAAAGAAACCGCTGTCTCTTGTTGAGGACTGCGGAGATAACATGGACTTTCTGTCTTTCAGCATTTTGTGGCTCGTGCACCGTTGGGGAAGCCCGGCTTTGTGCGCCCTCCTCAAATCTTTGTGCAAAGAGCTTTCTTATGCAGGCGGCTGTAATTGTGCATCTCAAATCCCAGGTGGAGCTTTTGGTCGGCAACCTCCCCCGCTTGCTTGCTTGTCGCAAAGGTGCCCCTGCCCGTAGGACAACGACGACCACTCAATCGATACCCCCATCTGCCAATTCTTGCGCCTCTGTAATTCGAGATTGCCTTCATCGCAATCATGTCAGGCAGATTTGCTTTCAACAAGGGCTTGAAGGAGGTCCGCTTCCTGTTCTGCCAGACGGGCGAGCACAGCGCTGCCACAAGGTGAATGATCCCAGCCCTACGGATGGAGTCTCCCGTCAACACAGCAGCGTGAATGACTCGAGCAATACCCGCCTCCGCTGATTTGATTAGATGAATGAGCCCCAGATTAACTTCAATTCTTTCAACCCAGATCGTTCCTCCTCCGAAACTACCCTGCCATGAAGAAGGATAACCCGGCGACACCGATTTTGATTCGAGATGCGTCCGGCACGCTACCCAAGGTCTATGCGAGATTCGGTTGGTGGATCCAGACCATATGATATCATGCTCTACTGTTTGGTGTTCCTTCTAACGCTCGGTCTTTGCAGAGTTCGGTAAGGAGAAGAGTCAGTCGCTGGAAGGTAGGTTATGGCGTCCTTTTACATCTTATTTGGACCGATGACTAACCCAGATGGTTCTAGGTCTGTCCGACCAGCAAATCGAGGAGACGGTATCATCCCTCGTCAAGAACAATTCTTGAGCTGGGAAGTGAGAGGAGCCATGAAGCATGTCTATAACACCAACGTCCTTGATGCTACGCATAACCCGCTGTGGTGGCACAATGAAACCCGCAATCCCTTCGACGCAACCGATGGATGGGTACGATTGTTGAATTCATCGAGAAAATTACCGCTTCAGTCGCCAAATCCTAGGCTCACAGGTCTTTAATGATATTATACTCGAGATGAGGAATCACAGTTATCTTCGAGGCAATGCCCACCATCTTAGAGAAGCGGATTTGGAAACACTTGATACAGCTCCGCAACTTTGCCGAACTTTCGCCCTATCTCAGGAGAAACAGCTATGCAACAAAGATGCTTTGAGACTGTGTTGATACGGCCAACGGGGGTGCAATCAGACGCTTGGTGACTGTGTATGAAGAAATCACAACTTACAAACAAGCAACTGGATTGGCACCCTGGCCTACTTGTCACAGTGTATGTTCCTTGACAAGCAAGCTGGCAGCGAAGTTGGGGACTCGATCAGAGCGCAAGTTGAAAAATCGTTCTGCGTTTGGATGCTTCAAAAACGATATGCATCTAGGTAGGTTTGAGGGAAAGTGATGCAAACAACATCAGCACTGGTCCGCAAAAGAGGCTGCAACCTTCCCAACTTCCAAAGCTGCCATAACTTTGGACGAGGAAAGGAGCTAAACCTTTCCCATAAGAAGATATATTCAAGTGCCCGCTGTTGAAAGAGTATGTATGCCATATGGTCCACCAAACTTTTGCCTGTTCTCGTATCCTAAGACTGTCTTGTTTGTTCTCAGCTCCTATCCAACGACTGCAGCCAGTTAGAACAGCTGAAGCAGGTCGGTAGCACCGCCTTTGTCCCCTGACCGAATGTGCAAGCTGTGATGGGATGCCGTAGAGACGGGTTCGATGCACGCAAATGTACAAGTGCGCCTACCCAGCCGTGATCGAATCAGAAGCCGACGACAGAAACACAGCTTTCCATTCGACAGGCTTCACACCCCCCAAAAAAGGCAAGTCAGGGGATGAGCAGATCATTTTTGGGCGACCTCCAGACCTCCTTGGCGCGTGAAGTTGCCCCGCGTAAAAAGGGCGAGTTTTTGGGGGCATGGATCATAAGTACCCCATGACATGAGTATGCCGGCGCTTTTTTTTTTTTTTTTTTTTTTTTTTTTTTCTCCTCTCTCTCTCACGGCATGTGCTGAGACTACATCACCTCGACTTCGTCACAAGATAGGTTGTAATCGAGCTGGATTATCTCAGGAGCGTGCAAAGCATTCCGGTTGTGCCGAGCGAAAACCTGGAAGAGACAACCACAAGATTCCCCACAAACCCTTTGTTCCGCCTCGTTAGACGAAAAAAGAAAGATCATCACCCCTCCTTTCTATCCCGCCCTCAGCTGCCGCCCCGCCCCGCCTCATATATCACAGTAAGACAGGAAGATCGAGCCCAGATTACAGGAACAACCTGTTCATCGACGATACCATCCGGCCAAGCTGTATCAATTTTATTCATCGAGCCCAGGAGCGCAAAGATGCCCAGGATCTTTGGGCGCCGGTCAACCTCTCTGAAGCTTATGAGCCCTCCAGACTCTATGCCTCTCTCAGAACAAGAGCATCACAATTCCTCGGACAATCACCATGATTCGGCTTACTCCTCGCTGCTGGATCCCATGGTGCGCGCAATGGAGCCGCCAGAACACCGCCGGACCAAATCCACACCAAGCGGATGGATGCAAGGCTTTGCAACTTCTGGACAAGACGTCTCACACCGGACGTGGTTGAGTGCCGCCGAAAGACGCTCCTCTTCAACTGGCGAGCGTCCACCTCCTCGGAAGCTGGTCAAAGACCCCAACGGCTCCGGCCGGCCGTCGTTCTCCGTGGAGCTTTCGGATAGTGACGGGGAGAAGGAGAAGGGTGTCATACGACGACAGCTCACCAGACTGAGGAGCTTCTACCGACGAGAGAAGTCAAAACCCTGAGGAGGACCGCTGATCATCCTCAGCTTGCTGCTGACTTGTGATGTTTATTAAAAGTCATGATGTTGGCGGCAGGGAAAACGGATCACGACAACTTCAAACTTGTGGTTGGTTGTTCGGAGGATTTCCGTCTTTGGGGAGGACAGTTACAGTAGGCGCATTTTGCTTGAAGACCCGCTCCGCCGACACCGACACCGACCCGCTTTTCCTTGGCAGCCACTACCATTCCTACGATCACAACTCTCGTCGGTTATCGGTTCATGGAAGTCTTTTTATGCCATGACTAATCTAACAAAACCTCACCGGATGGACAAATCGACTTCCGAAACTTGCCTAGAACACTACCTTCAACGCGAAAAGTAGACTTCCGGTTTAGTATCCTATCCGAGGACGCTCACTGAAGGCCACACATTCAAGGCCCTTTCTCATCCTTTGAAAGCTTCTAATTTCGAGGCAAACGACGAGTCCTTCCGGGTCAACTTTCAGCGGAGTCGGATCTCAAAACCACACTCTTGCAGCCCCATGATGACGGCCTGGGCTTCTAACCTCCGCCCTCAGGTCACTACATCTTGTCTCGTTCTTGGGGCAGTGGGTGTATCCTTGGGGTTGAGTGCCCACATGCTGATGAGCCAAAACTCGACCACGAAGCCAATAATAATCCCATCGCCAAGAGCCACCCACCTTCCACAGTTGCCCAAAGAAGGAACCTCCTCACTTCCATACCCCCCAGATGCTCTACCAGGTGCAAGGGACGTTGAGACCCCATATGGAATCATCAAGGTATTCGAATGGGGGCCTGAAGACGGCGAGAAGGTTCTTCTGTTACACGGCATCAGCACACCATGTTTGAGCTTGGGAATACTTGGAGAGGCGCTCGTGGAAAAAGGTTACAGAGTCATGCTGTTTGACTTTTTCGGCCGCGGTTATTCCGATACTCCAACAGACATCCCCTTTGACATCCGGCTTTACTCGACTCAGATCCTCCTGGCTTTGGCATCTTCAAATCTGCCCTGGACCGGCGACAACGGATTCCACATGATTGGTTATTCCCTAGGCGGAGGCATCGCCGTCTCGTTCGCCAGATACTACTCGCACATGATCCGGTCCTTGATACTCGTGGCAAGCGCAGGACTGATCCGGTCAGAACACGTGAGCCGAAGGAGCAGGATCCTTTACTCCGAAGGGCTGCTTCCCGAGAGTCTGCTCCGGTGGCTCATACGCCGACGGATCACTCCTCAGTCAGCGACAACGACATCCGAAGCCAAAATGGCTAGCGAGGTCGTAACCGCCACCAGCAACAGTGAACAGTCCATCAAGAAGCATCACAAAAACAGCGACGCCAGCGGCGGGGACTCGTTCGACAATGCGGTTCTCTCGCCGCACAGGCCCAACAGCACAGTTTCCTCGGTGATGGCCTGGCAGGTCCAGCACCAGCAGGGATTCCTCACGGCTTTTATGAGCAGCATTCGGCATGCGCCCATTTACGAACAGCGGGAGGATTGGCTAAAGCTCGGTCAGCTTTTGGCTGCTAGGCGAAAGACTTCTTCTCCTGGTGCCGATGAGGGAGCCGGGGCAGAACCGTTGCCGGGACTTTTGGGTGGAAAAGTCTTGCTGATTCTTGGCTCAACGGATCCGGTAATTGTCAAGGAGGAACTGATACACGACGCCACGTCAGTGTTGGGAGAAGATGGATTTAAGGCTGTTGTAATGGATGGTGGACATGAAATCGTTATGACGAAGGGAAAAGAGGTGGCGGGCTTGGCGGCAGGTTTTTGGTCACGGGGTTAGATAACTTGGTCGCAAGGGAAAAACCATTGTATATGATGATATGATACGTAGGATATATGACATGCTGGATGTGATTGCAGATTTTAAGAATTATTCATTGTCGTGTTTCATCGTGCGAGTAGAAACAAAGTGGTTCGAGCTGATGCAGTGAAACGATCAAGGGGATTTGCTGATGTTGGACCCATGTCCGCGGGTGACACCTGCAGGAAGTAGAAGTGCCCTGAAAGGCCACGCTAGGTTGCTAATTCAGCGGCTATCAGGCGATTTCTCAGCGCGCACTTGCTTTGCATGGATCCAGCTGCCCAAAGCAGCCTCGTACAGGGGGGCGTATTGGTCGATCCTGGCTGCCGTGCAACAAACCCCACCAAGGCTGATAGCCTTTCAGGTTGGAGGAAATTTCCCAAACAACCTCCTCCAAAAACAAATCGCAGCCTTCACCAAACAAAACCACTTCAAGCTTGGTACAGCCAGTTGGCAACTCGACAACGGTTGAATCTGATATATAACAAACCGAAATCACATCAGGCACCATAACAACCACAAGTCACCAAATATCAGAAACCAAGCCGTTACAATGGCCGCCACAGTTCCAGCTCCTTCGCTGAGCTTCTCGCGACCAACCTTCGCCAAGCTCTCGCCTCACCCGTACCTTCTCACGAACCTCACCGACCCCGAAAACCCCTGCCGTACCAACGGTCGCGCCCCGTACGAGGCTCGCCCCGTTCACATCCACACGTCCTCGCTCGCCCACGCCAACGGTAGCGCACTCGTCCGCACCGGCGACACCACGGTCGTCTGCGGCGTGCGCGCCGAGATCCTTCCCGTCACCAACATCCCCCAGTACCGGCCGCGGGAGCCCTCGTACGGCGAAGAAGACAATGACGACAGCGCCGATGTCGATGAGCTAAAGGACTACGACCTCCTGGTTCCCAACATCGAGCTAGCCACCGGCTGCGCGCCGCAGTTCCTACCCGGCGTGCCGCCCACGACGCTGGCGCAGACGCTTAGCACGCGCATCTACTCGCTTCTGCACAGCTGCAAGGTGGTGGATCCCAAGGGCCTGAGGGTGTGGTACACTCCGCCTAAGGAGACTAGGGAGGAGGGCGCGATGGAGGTGGATGAGGCACAGGAAGAGGAAGAAGAAGCGGAGGAAAGGAAACCGGAGCTCAAGGCCTACTGGGTCCTCTACATCGACCTACTATTCGTCTCCTTCGACGGAAACCCATTTGACGCAGCCTGGACAGCCGTCATGGCGGCGCTGCGCGACACGAAGCTGCCGCAGGCGCGGTGGGATCCAGATCGCGAGGCGGTGGTGTGCTCGCGGAGCGAGGAGGCGAAGATGGCGCTGGGTGTGCGTGGACTGCCGGTTGCCTGCACTGCGACGGTGTTCCTGGAGAAGGAGCACGGAGATGATTCGGGCACCTCGGCAGAGAGGAAAAGCAGGCACTGGATCTTGCTGGATCCGGATAGGTTGGAGGAGAGCTTGTGCAAGGAGACGGTCACGGTGGTGGTGGACTGCAGCGGGGAAGAGACGAAGGTGAAGAGCATTGAGAAGCATGGCGGTACGGTGATTGGGAGAGAGTTGATGAGAGGGTTCATTGGTGTTGCTGAGGGGAGGTGGCAGGAGGTGAAGGAGGCGTCGAAGTAGAGTGTCGGTCTATGGCAGACAGGCATCTCGGGCTTGTCCTTTCCACGAGTTTTCACATGGACGAGCGTCGAAATGAGAAGAGCAATGTAACGGATTTGATACCCTAGGATGTACGGTTGGACAAATGCACGGTCAGAGTGGTCGCGATTATCACCATTAGTCTTGAAACAACTTATAATACCTCGATAGCCGCTTTGCCACCAACACGATGTTCTACCAACATGATCATGAAGGCAGACCTACGCAAAGTTCTCAAAGGCAATGTCAGGGGCGGCGAGAAAGTGAAAACGACAACATCAACACGAACGAGCCTGTTCAGCAGACCATGGGCAGCAAGGAAAGTGGAAGAGAGCCAGCATACCTATCCAGGGCGGTCAGGACGTTGGGTCAGGGGTCGGTTACCCTCAGGCTCTTTCCTGTTGCTATCAAGGGAATATCTCTTGACTGGATGTAGAAGGGCCATGGCTGTTCCTTCCTTGAGATCCCAACCCTGAGGAAGGAACGGCACTCTGACAAAGTGAGTACCTCAATGGCCACTGCAATTCATGAAGTATCATGCAATTATAGTGGAGGTAGGTGAGGTTTAACCGGCCGCACCTTCCGTTTTCCAAATGACGATGCAGCCAGTGGTGAAAAGTTTTACGCCTCTGATATTGAGCCCTTCGCCCTTCTCATCGGCATTCTGTCTCCCCCCATCCACGTCTTCGACTCACCCGTCTTTCAGCGTTTGGGAGGCTTGCGTTCAAAAAGGCCAACTATTCCAGCATACCTCCGTTCTTGAGAGCCCAGCTGCCGTTCATTTTCAAGTCACGTCGAATCACGCCACCGTTAGTTAATACGTCAGATCCCTCTCAGCCGGCCATGTCCCCTCTGGCGACCTTCCACCCGTTTCCGAGGCTACCCTGGGAATTACGCAATGAGATCTGGACGCAGTCTATCCGCCCACTTGACCGCCCTGGGGCCCATATCTTTTGCTTGGACCTGCGGGAGCCGGAAGATGATACAGCAAAGGAACATGACATACAATGCCCTCGTATTCTTTCAGTGCCTTTACATTTTGAGCGTCCGCGTCCGCCTTTGGTGATCGGCGAGAAATTCATTCACGTGTCAGTCCCCGCAAAGACCTCGTCGTCCGGACCCGACGGTAATCCCTCAACGTATATGGTCGATGGCGGACTCTGGACCGCCTGCAAGGAGTCACGGGCAGTGATGGAACATACGTTCAACCACCAGAAGTGGGATCCGATAAGGAAGGCATACCCAGCATACTGGAAACTTTGGAAAGATACGCTCTTAGATCGTATGGACTTCGATATGCCTCCTCCTCCTCCTCTTTCACCTGGCAGTGACGACTCGTCTCCTTCTCCACCTCGACCTCCACGTTCGCCTCGCGAGAGGCCCCCCACGCCCGTTGACCCCTACGGCGCAGAGCGCTCATATCTTCGGGTACCGGCAACGGCATTTTTTTGGTCATCACCTTCATTGCCCTGTTCGCCGCGCTCCAATGAGCTGGACAAAGCGGACCATTCCAAAGGTCAGGCTGCAGCCTCCCCGCGTTCTGTCACTGTGCTTCCAATGCAGGATCTCATCATTATTCGGCCCTCGAGTTGGACCCCGCATATACATGAGGGTTACTGGCAAGCGCTTGAACACGGGTTTCCATTTGGGGCAAAGAAATATGGCTTTCCTGGATTTTGCGGATGGAAAGGTTTTGCCATTGAGTACGATCCAAGCTGGGGCGAAAGGCAAACATGGGGCGCCACTTGGCGTGATGACTCTATTTGGCTTGATGATGGTTCCTTTAAGTTGCCTGACGGTACCGTTGGTGTCATGGACAGTATCTACAAGGCCGTTTCAAACTTTGAGCAGATTCAGACGATTTGGCTCATTGACTACCGACTCAAGGCTAAGCAAAATACACCCGCAGCCATCAGAAGGCTGGATAGCAGCCAGAAGGTGTTTTATGGAGGTGACGGGTGCCAGTTCGTAGAAGTGTATCGCGAGTTTGTTGAAAGTGGCGGTGGTTATCTTAATGAGTATTACACCGAGGGCATTGATGGTGAAAACTCAGCCATGAGCCAAGGATCGTGCCATTGGTTTATTGAAGAGTTTGAGGTTCGCATGTTTGGGGATCTCTACGACAGCGACGAGTCGGTCGATTCAAATTACTCGAGGTATCCTCCGCATATTGGCCTACTGGCCTGCCTGCCCTAGGCTTGTATAGCGGCAGTGGACACTTCAAGACCTGTGGAATCTACCGGGGGATTGCTGTATCTGACTTGGTTGGTCTCTCTTCACTTGATCTTTCGTTATACATTATGCATCTGGCAAGGGGTTCCTTGCGGGTTTCTGAAACCGTGGCTGGTTTAATGTAATCACATGTTGGTCATCCCAATTCCTTTCCTTCATATCTCCTAGTTGACCTCTTTCACAAATACTCAGTAGTGTAGGTTTTGACAAACATAAAACAGAGCACAAGATCAAGCGATGAGTAGTTGGGAATGAGAGGAAGCAAATTATATGGGGTCAGGCGCTGCGCTATGTGTGATGTGAGCAGAATAGGTTAGTCGTCTTTGGGACTCAGAATCTCCGTGATCGGGATTCTATCCACTGGTCTGGGCCTAGAGGGCGATACTGCATTGCGGGCTCTGGGTCAATTGGATGTTTAACCTCGGGGTTTCGCAGTTGTAACTTTTGCGTCACGAAGGAGTTAGGCTGTTTTGACACTCGATAGAAGAGGAGTTGGTGAAATACTAGCCGTTGAGGCGGTTATGAAAGTTCAAGGAGACTGGGCTCTCACATAGGTTACAGTCATTGTCATGTGTGATTTCCAATATGGATTGTGCGCTTCACGCAGCCAAATAGCTCCCCCAAGTGGCATGAGGCCCGGAATTTATAACGAATATTAACGCTGCTTAACTGAGCAGCAATATGATAACGGCGATGATCATTTTAGGCACAACCTCGTGGCCAAAAGTAGGTAGTGAGAAATGTAATTTGAACGCGAGTCAAAACCGTATGACGGTTGAACAGCTCAATGATGTGTCGGTATAGTCTAGTTCGTTGACTACCTCTACATACATGGACATCCGCAACCAAGAATGATGGGTAGCAATGACCTCTCCCAAGTGACTGTGTCGCTAGGACCAATATTCAGGTCATTCGTGTCCGTTTCGTTCAGTTCCTTCTCCTCTCCTCTGCGACTGTGCTGTGCCTTCTTAATAAAACGAAATACGAGCAAGACGGGCAGGTGGGGGACAACTGGTGCACCTTCCATCACAAACTGAATGGCAATTATGGCAGTATTTCGATGGTAAGGAGTTGTTCTTATTCCAGCCAGTCCTTTGTTATCTTTACTCCATCATCCTCCCCATTGTCCTCTCTCCTCTTCATCCCCTTTCCCCCATTCACGCCTTCAACATTCCTCTCAGCGTCGGCGTTTCTGTGAAGCTCATATCCACAGGGCCGGGCTGCCGATTCGACAAAGCCTCCCTTCATACCTGGGCGCAAGGGTCCAACAATCGTACCCACCTTGAAATCACATCGATTTACCATTGGTTATTATTTCAGGATGTCAGATCACACGCAACTGCCCGGCGTCACCACGGGGCCTCTGACCACATTCCACCCGTTTCCCAAGTTACCATGGGAGCTTCGTTACGACATCTGGGACCTTGTTATTCGACCGCTTGACCGCCCTGGAGTCCATATCTTCTGCATAGAAGAGCGGAAACTGGAAGATTCTGAACCCAAAGAATGCGACGTGATCTGCGGCCCAATCCCTTTGGAATCTGGCGATTCCAATCTTCACATCAGTGTTCCGGCTGCAACCATGTCATCCGGACCTGCTGGTAACGTGTCCACATATATGATTGATGGTGGACTTTGGACTGCCTGCAAGGAATCACGAGCGGTAATGGAAAGGGTGTTCAGACACCAGATGTGGGATCCCAAGAGGAGGGCCTACCCAGAGTACTATTTGGATTCCTTTTATAGGTATAGGTTCGTTCCTCCACACCTTCGAGCACTACAACACCCTTCTCCAGCTCTCGAAGACCCATATAAAGGGTTAGAACACGAAACCGATTTGATACCGGCCACGGGGTTCTTTCTATCGGCACCAGTTTCTTCTTCCTCGCCGTCATCCGCTCGAACGAACCAAGCAGACCGACCCGATCATCGAGTCACAGCCTCCCCACACTATTTCAGTGTCTTTCCCCATCAAGATCTCTTCATAATGCGGCCTTCATCGTGGAAGATAAAAAACATGTGGTCTCTGCTCGCAGTTGGCTTCCCCTTTGGCTCGAAGAAATGGGGATACTTCGGATTCGGTGGAAAACATGGTCTCGCATTTGAGTACGACCCGCTCTGGGAGCAAGAGCCTGAAGCGACCGATCAGTATTCTCGTGATCATACAGGAAAGGTTATCGGTATTATCAGTATCTACGACCGAATGATTTCGACCATCCAACAACTCGTGGACTCCAGAGCGGACACTGTCTGGTTCATTGATTATCGACTCAAGCTCAAGGAGAACACACCAACAGACAAGAGAGAGCCCATTAATGACCAAAAGGTGTTCTATGGGCACGATGGACGTCGATATGTCGAGGTGTATTCCAAGTACGTCAAGGGAGGTGGCGACCGTCTCCCATGGTTTTATACCGAGGGTATTGAGGGTGAGGACTCGTCTATCGGCGGAGGGTCTTGCCATTCTTTCATCGAATATGTTGAACTTAGTGCTTTCATGAATATCTGGAACGAAGAGTCGGATAACGAATGGGGTGATGAAGAAAGGCACGGCCCAGCGTTGGGACTTCTTGCTTGCTTGCGTTAAGCCTAATTGAAATACGTCGATGATGGATTGTCATGAAGTGTCGAGCAGCTCTTGTACTTAGTAGATCTCATTGACATTGGTGTTTGTGGTCTTGCGTTATCTTGTTGCAACGAATTTTATTGTTGGGCTCTCACATCTACCTAGGTACGCCACGGGCACTCCTTAAAAAAAGAAGGACTATTGTAGTGGTCTTTGGCGATGTATTTGATGTTGATAAATGCACTTATCAATCCATTTTCAACGGCGATTGGAGCATGAGATGAGCACTTGGTGATGGGATGCTTAACAACAATATCAATTTCGATATGTGTTCAGTTAGAGAAAACATGTGTTGGCTCTCTAACAAGCACTGGGTAATAACCGCTTCAGTCCCATCTGCCTGACCATTTGTGTGCTGTCCAGACCTACCAAACCTTTCAGCAAAATCTCAGCAACTCATCGGATTACAGAATGTCAAGCGAGAGATATATTTTCAGTCACATCGCAAACACCGAAAACCTTTCCCGCCGAGATATCTTTGCCGTTTGGTATTCTCGCAGACGACGTCTAGAGCCTTCCATCTCTTTCAATCCACAAAACCACCACTGTTTGTTGTCTCCTTAAGTTGTCCAAAATCCAAAATAAATCTTGTCACCAGCTCCCTGACTTCCAAGCCTCAACAGCACCGACCCTCATCATTTCTCACCTCGGCCTCGCAATCCCCAACTCACACATACTCCCCAAAGAAAACAACGTAACCTTGAAGAGCTCAAGATGTCACTAGATGAGCTTGATCTGCTGCAATCAAGGGCCACAACCCCCGCCGACGAATATCACTGGTACCTTCTCTACCAGCTGATCCGAGGCCTAGAGTGGCTCAAGCTGAAAGTTCAAAGCGGCGACGTCGACGACGACGACGACGACGAGGTGCGCATGCAGCAGCAGCAGCTGTCAAGCGAAGCAAGAGAAAGCCTGAAAGAAGTATTGGACAAGGAAATCGAAGAGGCCAACACCGACAACCTCCTCTACGCAGAAAACCTGAAACGTGAAGACCAGGCAAACAAGTTCCCGCAGGCGGAGGAGACCTATTCGCATGACCTCCGCTTGGGCAAGTTCCGGCAGCAGGAAGGCTATGATGAGCGTCTGGAGAGATTCCGGCGCGAGTGGACGGAAGAGGCGGCTCTGGAGAGAATCGCGGAATTGTTTGGCGTGTGGAGCGACGTGAGGAAGAAGCTGGGGCTTCATAGTGGTGAGACTACCTCGGAAAAGGATATGGTGGCTGTTAGGGAGCATATGCAGAAGACGGTGGCGGATAGACAGGCTGTCAGGTTTAAGCCGACTTATTCGCTCTATCCAAAAGTTCCGGAGGAGATGAAGGAAGTGATGGAGAAGAGATCATGACCAAAGTAACTGCACTGTATCGTACGTACCTCTACCTCTACTTATCAGAGAGGGAGGCGTGTCACTACTGGCCGGTAGCCGCGTCGCAATATCAAGTGGCTCTGCGTGACGAACAGTGGGACTTGCAAAGGGACGGGAGAGATAACTTTAGTGCTTTTGGTCAAAGGACGTTTGGGTTAGCGTAGCGCTTGGGGCGTTTGATGGAAATTGGTCAGATGATGAAGGAGTAAGAACAACTACACTTAAAGAACTAAGAGGAATACTTGATCCGTCCGTCATCTTATACCTGTGTGGACTGTAATATACTAGTAAAGGTATCCTTCGTCAGCCATTGATTTCCCAACGCTCAATGAACTAACTTGAAAAGAAACAAATATTTCTAGCTCAGACATCAACCTCGACCCTGCACCTTCCCCTTCCCCTCCCCTTCTCCTCCCAAAATTCCTCTCGGCCACCATCCCAAACCAGAACTTGAACCCTCTACGGCTCCTGCGCAGCCGCTAGATTGCTCTTCTCAAAACACAAGATAGTGGGCGGCTCCGACAAGTTCAAGCTGGGGCCGATCTCCTTCAGCATAGCATGGGCGAGACACTCGTTGTCGTAGTAGCGCATGTCGTCCATGGATGCGAACTCGATGTACGAGGCGACGGTGTAGCCGCGGGCCTTTTGGTCGGGAAGGGTCTTGCCGGCCGTCAGTTGCAGAATGTAGGGCTTGCCGTCCTTTTGGGAGGCGAGCTGATAAGTTAGCAGAGTGAGAATAGTAGAGGTAGGTTGACTTTGCGTTTGCATTTGCTTGACTGGCGGGGGGTTGAGATGGATTGGAGCAGCTGAGGACGGACAGAAAAGGGAACTGAAAAGAAAGGGAAAAAGAAAGAGAGGGAAAAAGAAAGAGAGGGAGAGAGAAGAGAAGGGGGGGGGGGGGGTTGTAGGACTGACTATTGGGGAGACTGGAGAGGTAGCTGGGAAAGGAAGGTGCGAGCGAGGAAGAACAGAGTTTGAAAATACCACTCAGTGTGAAGAGGAAGAGAACTGAAGGGGAAGGAGCGGATCGGGATGGGCCGAGAGGCGAACTAAGATCACTGCACTGCAGGCATCATGATCATGATAGGTACCTAATCAAGGTGGAGTAGTATGGCAACTGACTGGGACGGTCGGATATAATAGTAAAACAAGCTCAGTGAAAACATCAACGAACCTTCTTCTGTTCCTCCGCAACAACATGATACGCATCTAACAACCTCTTCTGATTCGTCTCATCCGGAATCTTGAACAGTGTCATCCGGTGGATGCGGGGACCGCGCTTGTCGGCTGTCATGTTGTCAATGGTCTGGTGTTGACGGGCGTGAGACTGAGCTTAGTGATGTGAACGAATCGGAGAATGGCAAGTTGAAAAAGATAATGGTTTTTCTCAAAGTTGTGAAATTAATTCTTTCGAGGACGGAGAACAAGATGAGACGTAGCCCGGATGGTGAGCGAAGCCAAAACTACCTGTCTACTAGTAGAGGAAGGTAGGCAGAGGTATCTTATAACCCAGAGAAATCTTCATTGACCATGCAAGGCGGAGGAACAATCGAAGTTGGCCAACGAACTGGAAGGAAACACGGCCACTGCTCTTTGCTTCTCGCTCTGCCAGATGAGTGGCGGTACTTAGAGGTATGAATATGGCATGAAAGAGGCCGTTGCCTTGGTACATGGCATCGACGTCGTCTCTTCTACTGAACGCAGTTTCGCGCGCACTTAGCCCCATTACCAAGCCACCGCTGTGTTTACAACAGGTCTGGCTTTCATGACAAAGCGGCAGCGTTATCGTAGAGTCCGAGTCAGTTTCTACCCAAGGGGCGTGTTTCTTTACCGACTGCATGTCATGTCGTGAGGCATCAGTCGCCTGATTCGATCGAGGTGTCATGAAAGTGAGACAAATGATAAGGTACCTGGTTTCGGGAAGCAAAGCGCATGCAGTGTGCATTGAAAGACTTTTAGCTGAGGTAAAGGTAGGAATGCGCCTGTGCCTGTGTTGTCGTGGTGTTCAATTGGACACTTGAGATCAGAAACCGAAGTCCAGAGGTCCGTCGGAAGTCAGACGTCGGAAGTTCTTCGATGCTCCTTCTTCCCGCCCGCCGCTTCAAGATCGTGAAACCTCCTTCTGGTCTTTGTCCTCCCATCGCCCTGGCAGGTGGCTGAAGTGGCTGGGCTGACACGACAGGAACCCGAGGACGATAAAGCAGCAAGCAAGTAGGTGCGAGATTGGGAGCCACGATTTGCAATGTCCGACTGCGGTTTGTGCTTGGACTGATATACAGCAAGTCTACTTACCTAGCCACTGGTGTTCGAAAGATACGGCATCTACACCAGCCACCAGTCCACAATATCATCGAGTTCGGAATTTGCACGGATACACCATAATGAATGCGAATACTGTACGCATAAATCTTAGTGTACTACAGGAGTTGACCGGTGGGGAAATTCCAGATTGACAGTGGTACAATGCCTCGAATGTGAGCCTCAAGAACCATGGGAGACGTCTGAGGTGAGTTGAGGATGGAAAGAGTTCAGTTCGGAAGTATGACTTACCAACCATGGGACGTCGATCATTCTTGCATACCTAGACTCGTTCAGGCCAGACAACATGCATGTATGTGAGGTTAACATCTCCATATCAGGCTGGCAGCTGACCAGCCACGTCCGCTCAAGTAAGGTAAAATCGGTGTGCTTTGTTCGCAGACGCGGGGGGTAATCGCATCAACCGTATCTAACAGATCCGATCCCGAGTCCAAGGGAAGATTCCGACCTAGGTAGGTAGACTTCAGTTCGGACAAATGACCAGCCAGCCTGCATCAATGTCATTAAACCACACCAACAGTGAACATATCCATCGGCCGAACGAGACCAGGGGACCCGTATCCAAAATGCCAGAGCAATGCTAGAGGACGACGACAAAGAGGAGGAACAAGGCGCGCGCTTACGGAAGATGACGGAACCACGAAAACAGACAGACAACAGCAACCGCAGCAACATAATCAAAATCAAGGAAGCAGACTTTAAAATCTATACTGCCAATATGCTTTTCCTGGCTCTGGCCCCGCAATTGTTCGAACAATACCAACAACAATGCCGACCGATTTTCCCTTCCTTCCTTCTCTTACACACCCGCCCACATTTCAAGCTTTCCATCATTCGCCCATTTCCAACTCCCAACTTCCCAACTCCCAAGTCGAAATGCCCAAGCTTGAGCCTAACCATTCCCAAGCTGTCACCCCCAACCGTCCGAGCCCTACCCACCGAATAGGAGACTTTATCGACCTAAGGCTACGGATGATCTGAGAAAACCGAGTCACGGACTCAGCTGCTGCATCGATACCAACTCCACCTTGGTTTGTGTTGTCTGCTTTGGGGAGGGGGAGGTCCATGGGGTTTCTATCGGCTTGCCATCTGGTGAAAGTCCTTGATTCGGCGTCTGCGTCTGCGTATGTGCTTGTGTCTGCGCCTGCGCCTGTGATTGTGCCTGTGACTGCCCAGCTGCCTGCTTGTGCTGATTTTCATGCTCTTCGCTTCCTTGCTGCCGCTGGCTTTGGCTCTGACTTCCTGTCTGTGCTTGCGTTGTTATATCCTGTTTCTGTTCCTTCTCTCCTGTCGGTATTTGTCTTTGAACAACAGACTCGCCGAGCCCGCCGAATCCACCTGGCGATCCTGACCCTGAAGCAGCCGAGCTTGAAGCTAAACCTGTCTGACCAGCACCAGGACCAGCATTAGCAGCAGCAGCCGCAGCAGCAGCAGCAGCAGCAGCAACAGCATTAGCATTAGCAACCGTTCCCATGACGATCCGCATCTTCTCCAGCAGTTCCGGCATCCGATATGGCTTGATCAGCACGTCATCGCATCCGGCCTCCTTGGCCTCGAGGATTTGTTCTATGCGGGCGTTGGCGCTGACGGCTATGATTGGTAACCTCCCGCCCGTGATCTTGCCCTGGCGTTCCAGCTCGCGAATGTTGCGCGTGCACGTGAGCCCATCCTGAATGGGCATCTCGATGTCCATGAGGATGACTGACAAGGGGAACTTGGTGGCTGGTGTGGCTATTGTTGTCGTTGCTGGTGGTGCTTGGCTTTGATTCAGGAAACTGCCATTGACTGGCGGTGGCAATGGGCTGATGGTCCCATTCAGAGCGGGAATGGCGTTTTTGTTATTGATGCTGCCGTTCATGGGCAGGGCAGTGCCAGAACCCTGGTCGCTCACATAGCGGTCAGTCCGCTGCAGTTTATCGAGACATTCCAGGCCATGGTTTGCTACATCAACAGTGAATCCCATACTGGTGAGACCACGTCGCGTGATTTGCTGGTTGATCAGGTTGTCCTCAACAACCATGATGCCACGAATCTGGGGTGGCGGTGTTACCAATCCGCCAAGCTCAACTACAGGACTGGATGGTACTGGGCTTGGCCGCGGCGACGATGTCGAACCCCTATGAGGATTACTGGGGCGCATCGAGCGGATATTTGGAGCCTTGGTCATCAAGTCTGACATGACAGCCTTTGCTGCCACCGCCGTCGCCTCAGCATCACGGAGAGACCTTTCATTGGGGTGATAGGCTTCGATGTAAAAAGCAAAGGTGCTACCGACACCCGGTTGACTGGCCACTCCAATGGCGCCATTCTGGAGTTCCGTGAGCCGACGGCTGATGAACAATCCAAGACCTGAGCCTCCGTACTTGATATGGGTACGACTGGACGCCTGGACGAAGCGCTGGAAGAGACTCTTCTTCTCGTCTTCTGTCAGACCCTGGCCTGTATCTTTGACCTCAAAGAGGAGGAACATGGGTTCTCCACGGTCATGGACGCTTGCTGTATCGCTATCCTCGGCGTTACTCTCTTGGGACCTCGGGATAAACTGTACCGAACTGGTGGCCTCGGTTGGGCGTGTCAAGCTCGCACTTAGCCCGACGGTGACGTTGCGGGTTGGACCAGTCTTGGTGAACTTTAGAGCATTGGTCAGTAGATTGATGAGAACCTGTTTCAGGCGTGACGGATCGAAGTCCAGGTATTTGACGCCAAGATCGTAATATGACTGGTCAACAACCATGCTTAGGTTGATATCGACTCTCCGAGCCTCGACTTCGAACATCTTGAGCGCTTCCTTGACCATCTGAACCGGGTTCACGGTGATGGGCGTAATAGCCAACAGCTTGGAGTCGAGCTTCGACATTGTGAGAATATCATCAACGATGCGCTTCTGATGTTGAGCACACCCAACAATAGTCTCTGCACTGTCGATGCCGTTGTCCAACAGCTCACAAACCTCTGCACGAAGCTCGTGATTTGGCTGGTTGTCGGCAGTACCTTCGCTCACATAGCTCCGCGCATCGCTGTCGCTCCCATGATGGTCGCCACCAACAAGTTCTTGAACGCGCGAGAGCGTGGCTGTGATGGCGTCTGCGCAATGTATTATAGCGCTCAAGGGGTTGCGCATCTCATGGGATGTCATGTCGATAAAGTTCTCCTGCTGGCGCTTGGACTCGATCGCCTCCTCTTTCCGTTGTTTCTCCCTATCCAACTGCCACTTTTGTAACGAAACGTCGCTCAGACAACCAGTGAAGCTTTGTATGACACCCTCGGCCGATCGTACAGGCATCAGCGTCGCTTGTACCCATCGCGGCATAACCATCTTGTGGCCCGCACCGTCATCGGCAGTCCATGTTGTGCGGAGTCTGACTTCCACATTCTGGACTTTATCCTCGATGACCATCTTCTTGAGTTTCTTCATCACCAAGCCCACATCCTCTGCCCAGACGCACGTCTCTAACGGTCTAATCGTAACCTCGGTTGGATCGATTTTCGGCAATCCGCACATTTCGTAGAAAACATTGTTGGCGCCCAGAAGGCGCCCCTCAAGGTCCATATCGTACATGCCAACTGTTGCGAATTCGGCCATCCTTTTGAGGTTCTCAGCCTGTTGTGCTCGTCGAACCGCCTCTTCAGCAGCGTGCTTGTGTGCCGTAACGTCTGTCAAGCATGTCATGGTCCGTATGATGCTTCCATCTGGGGCGCGCTCTGCTTTGGCGGTGGCAAAAATATGGCGTTCCTTAGACTGATCGATAGGGACGAGATCCAGACCTGCTTTCTCGAAGCTCGGAGAGTTGCGGGTTAGAGATGGAGTGACGTTCGTGTGGTTTTTTGGCTTTACCCTGAATTCGTATTCAACGTAATGCTCCGTCTTCAGTTTCTCGTGTGCGGTGACAATGTTTTGGCGGTCCTCTTCTTTGACACAGGCAAGGAAGCCACTGTTTCTGATGGGGCCGTTCCCTGGGAAGCCTGTCATCTTGTACCACGCGTCGTTCGCAAATGTTATGTTTCCTTGGGGATCGCCGAAACACATGCCGACCGGAACGAACTCAACAAGAGCTTCAAACATCTTTATCGACTCGTTCGCTTCCTTTGTTTGGATAGCCAGCTTTTCTTTGAGCATGGCTTGATCATAAGCAGCCTGCTCTGCCGCATTGCGTCCTCTTCGTGCTTCCTCCTCAAGAAGGACCACGGAGGCCAGAGAAGTGGTAAGTTTTTGGCTCAAGAGTAGTATGTATTGACGATAGTCGTTGTCGTAAGGGCGTCTTGGGTTTAGACCTAGAAGAAGTAGCCCCATTGCGTCTTCCTTCTTTGTTGGCCGAATCGGCATGATCACAACAGCCCGGCACGGATCATCTTTGAAACCCCTCGTCTGCAGACCACGGAGATACTCCTGCGGAAGCGTGCCGTCCTTGGTCTGAAGAAGAAGTGGCTGGTGTGCTGTTACGGCCTCCCTAAGCGCTGGTGCTAGAGCATGCTCGTTTGTGCTGAGGTTAATCGCGGTTTGAGCAATCGGATGGCCTTCTGGCACTCCCAAAGCTCCGGCCAGTCTGCATTGCTTTGTGGGACCATCGCTGCCGATTTTCATAGCGCTTCCCTCTTCAAAAGCCTCCACGCTGTATAGAATCGCAAGCGGTATATCGTAACAAGGATCGACGTCGGCAAGTTCCTGGAGTGTCTTGTTCCAGTAACCATTCACATCGCGTGCGGCAGGCAGGTCCTCACCAAGCTCAACGAGCATCTGCATGCGACGCTCCCATAATCGCACACTAGTTGTGTCCCCGACCGGATGTATGAATCCTACGCACCGTTCCTTTTCGAGGATAGGGACGAGCGACCATTTCAAGTATGTCTCTTCGAGCCAGTGGGGACCTCCTTCCACCTCGGGTTCCCTTTCGATGAAGAACCTCCATTCATCCTCGATCGTCGGGTCTTCCTTCCGTGCTATACGCGACATGGCATCCTTCAGCTGTTCGCCGGCTTCCTGCCACGCATTTTCCACAGTCATTCCAAGTAGTGACGGATGTTTAGAGCCGCATAGTTTACTAAATGCCTCGTTGTAGAGGGTCACATAGTTGGTGCCCCAGTAGATGGCAATGGGGCGACTGTCAGCGAGTATTTGGTGGAAGGTCTGCTCCAAAGTCGGGGGCCAGTCTTTTATGGGCCCCAGTGGCGTTGCGGCCCAATCGACACTGTGTATCACTTCGAGAAAGGACCGTGTTTCTTCATCATCAAGAGGTCAGCTGGAGACTCATGGAGCCATAGCTGGGCCAGCACAAGAGGCAGGGACACATACCTGGCAAAATATCTGGTAGAATCCAACCCGGGTCCGTAGTCGAACGCTTGAGAGATTGGATCATCTCTGGGGAAGCCAGTGGGTACTCGGCCGAGCCCAAAGGAAGAGTTGGCGGTCCAGATCTGGTCCGGCTAAGTGATGTGTAGTCGGGAGGTGCCAGGCTCATCGAGGATGTTAAAGATGGTACTGCAAGGGTAGCCGCGATGGTGGTGGTACTAGCAGTGGTAGCAGCAGACGTCTGGATAGACTCGGGCGCATCATCCTTGACGGGAATCAGGCGGACCGGGGGAGGGACCGTGCTTCCGACAGGCGAGGCTTCGTCGACTTGACTTTGTGACGGTGGTTCAGAGAAGGGCGGTTGGTCATTTGCGCCCACAACGACCATGTCAGGGCGAACGATGGTACGGGTCCAATAAATGTTCATGAAGGAGAAGTTGGCAGCTGCCTGGCCGGTGCTACTGGGGCAGACACCGGACAGGTCTGTAAGCCATTCCCACAGCTCGACATTGTTGCGCTTGCGGGTGGTGATGGCGTCCGGGAGGCGGGCATCTGCATCGAGAGCGGGATTCGTGTAGACGATGGTGGGCGGGTGCGGGGTTAGGGCGACGATGAAGGACGGGCGCTGGTCGGCCTCGAGCAGATCGATAATGCCGGAGGTCAGGAAGGACGGATGCATTATTTCCACCGGCGGGGAGAAGATGCTCCAGTAGGGACGGGGTCGGTTACGGTCGTCGTCTCAGTATGAATGCTGCCGGTGCCTTGCTTGCTTGCTCCCAACCGGCACGGCGCTGCGGCTGGAGAGCCTGAGAAGACTGGACGGGACTGGACTGGACGTTGCGACTGGTGATCCACCAAGCCACCCAAGCCGGGGGGAAATACCCAGCGGGGAAAGTGATATGTCTGATACGAACGCGGGATCTGAGATACACGACACAGAAAGCTATTCCTCGATATACGTCCTCTCGGTGGTGACCGACGCGGAGTGGGTGAGCTAGGGAGCCAAAATTGGAAGCGCAGTGATACTGTACGCAACAAAAAACGAATGTGACTTGCGACTTTGCGATCTACGACTATAGAACCTAGACGTAGACACGGAAACCTCGATAGTATCAAGGGTAGGGGTAGACGCTGAACTGGAGGCTGGAGCGAGACACCAGCAGGCAGCTTTTGGGGGATGGAGTGGTGGTGATCGTGATGCTGCTGTTGGCGAAAGGCGCGCAAAGACGCATTCGACATTCGAGCTAGGCCACAATTTTTCCTGAATCTCCAGCAGGATTGCAGGCTTCCCGTCGTTCGTTCCCGCTTTGGGTGTTGATGGTCAAAGGACAGGACGGATGGGAGGGGGGATACCTTATCGTGAACCTTTTGAAAGGACTGAAGGAATATCCGCGACCAACCGAACCTTTCCAAAGAAGAAAGAAACAGGATTCGGAAACCAAAAGAGCGAAAACAGGCCCAAGCAGGTGAACCTAGAAAGGTCACATGGGCGACAGGGACGAAGATTTGGTTAGTGGTGTAGCAGGCGCAGCGCCGACGCGCGACCTGAAAGGTGACGATAGGGAGATGGTCCGGGGAATCGGGGGACGGGGACCGACAGGAGGGGACCTTGGAGGACCTTGGAATCGTGGCGTGTCGTAGTATTTTGCTGCTGTAGGCCCGGTGCTATTCGGTGCTAGCACAATATCCCATGTGTATACACGCAAGCACTGGTAGACATGGGATGATTAGTGGAGGTGAGGTATGGGGTAAAGGTGAATTGAGGTTCCACGTTTCCAGCCTTGGGTTCAGGGTTGGCGAGCGTTTTTGGCAGTCAGGTTATACCCGGGCCGTCACGATATCCGGTGAGTGAGTAATCAGGTGCCCGGGGGGTTAAAACCCGGAGTAGTTATCGAATAGGTAGGTTGACCGCAGGAGATGGGCAGTTGATGTGTTGATACCGACCCTTTCTTGTTTGGTGTTGAAGTCGAATTGGGCTCAGGCCAGGTAGCAAGTATCCCCGTCCGCGGTAGGCTGGTTAGTACACAAGGATGTTGGACTGAAATCGCAGACTGTGAGGAAATGGAGGGCAAGAATGTAGGGCCCAGAATGGGCAACGTGATGCTACCGAGGAGGAAAAAAGGGCGAAAGGTGTAGGTATGTACACTACAAGCTGGAGACTCTTGGGAGAGACGGAGTCTGTCGTCCTTTTTCGCGCGTGCTATACCGTGCAAAATTGAAACTGGGAAAGGTGGATGGGCACGGATGGGAAAAGCATCCAGTGGGAAATGCAACCGAATTGTGCAGGATGCCCCAAAAACCCTTGAATCCAGTGGAATACCACCCTATGGAGGAAGGGCGATCGCGGCCCGATTTGGGTGTTGGCTTCTTGGCTTCTTTGTACAAGGACTTTGGGCTGCAGTGTCACTGGCCAGTTGAAGGTCAGTTTACATGAGACGCCCCGTTCATCACCGACCGTCACAAGATTCATAATGTCTCTCATCAAGACCGGAGATGCGACTCACTGTAGTTGTACATATCTGATTTAGACCTGAACCTCCTGTCTGCACGCCCTCGGATGACAGCTGTAGTAGCTTCCTCGAAAGCCTCCATCAATTCGACGGGACACCTCCATGCCTTCCGTCATAACACATTGCCGGGAGATGCTCATTTGGCGGGATTACGGAAGTAACGGCGGGCGGGCAGGCCGGAATGGTGGCCGCAGATCTGAGGGTTGGCTGTTTGGATTTTGGAGCGCACATGCCAGCTCGACGAGTTGATTAGCTGCAGTAGTATCTGATGATGATTTGCAACAGTTTCTAAAATAAACAAAAGACCCCCCTTTTTTTTCCGAGAACACGAACTTTTTATCAACCTAGCTTTCCTTGACTGATCCTCCGTCTAGAGGTACTTGTGTCAAACCTGAGGTGACCCGAATGTTCCGTGGTCGTGCTGTTAACCCAAGTTCCAACCCGATCAACAGTTTGACCGGGAATCTGTTAACGTTGATTCTGGTCTTATACCAGTTCACCATTCCATTATCATCAGCGGTCAGACATAACCTGTTGATACTTTCTTCGGCCTGGGAATTGCTTGTCCTGCCATACCCCGACTGACAAATTCCACGCCTCGTCTTTTTTTTTTGCGTCTATCACAATACCCCTTCTCAGCTTCCTGTTTTTGAGTGTATCCAGTATTTTCGTTACAGTGCCGAGTCCTTTTGAAGGCCTTTCCCGGTCACTCCTTTTCCCAGCAAACTATCAATCAGATAGTAACAACAGCAAACCCAACAAAACAAGCCCCATCCTATAGAACTCTCAAAGCTCACCAAGGGCTTCCTCCAATGTCTTGCCCGTGAGCAGCTTAAAGGCCTCCTTGTACCTGGCGCTCGTAGCTTCAGCAAGCTCCTGCGGCATCTCGACGCCGTCCTTGGCCTTGAGCCCCTCCTTAGTGAGCCAGTTGCGCAGGAACTGCTTGTCGAAACTGTCCTGGTCTCGTCCGACCTCGTACTCGCTGGCCGGCCAGAAGCGTGACGAGTCAGGGGTCAAGACCTCGTCAATGAGAACAATGTCGTCCGTCTCCTCATCCAGGCCGAACTCGAACTTGGTGTCGGCGATGATGATGCCGTGTTCGCGCGCATACTCGGCCGCAGTGGAGTAGACCTTGAGCGCCAACTCCTCAATGCGCGCCGCGTACTTGTCTCCAACAATCTCGGCCGCCTTCTCGGGGGAGATGTTCTCGTCGTGGTCGCCGAGCTCTGCCTTGGTGCTCGGGGTGTACAGGGGCTTAGGGAAAGGAGAGCATTGCTGAAGGCCGGCAGGTTGGGGGATGCCGTGGACCGTGCCCGTCTTCTGATATTCGTTCCAGGCGCTACCAGTAATATAGCCACGAACGATAGCTTCGATGGGGAAGACCTTGAGCTTCCTGACCTGCATGCTACGGCCCCGGATCAAGGACTTATCTTCATCGCTGACCGAGGGGGGAGGAGTGAGGCTGATGAAATGCGTCTTGAGACCCGGAATCCGCTCCCCGAGGACTTTGAACCAGTGAGCAGTAAGCTGTGTGAGGATGGCGCCCTTCTGGGGGACACCATTGGCCATGATGACATCGTACGCCGAAATGCGGTCGGTAGTAACGAACAGCAGTGTCTTGTCATCAATCTCATACAGGTCGCGGACCTTGCCGCTGGTCAACTTGGGCAGCGACTGGAGCTCAATGGTGGTTACCACGGGAGTCGACATGGTTGCGGTTGTTGTTGGTGATCTGCCTTGTTGGTGGTGGTGGACGGGACGGAACTGGACGGATCAGAAGAAGCAAAACTGCGCAGTGCAGTACTATGTTGTGGTCTTTATGGGGCGATCGGAAGGTGCGATTGGAGATCACTCGATGAGTAGCTCGGATCAATCCTTCAGGAACGAATGACTCTTTTTGATAAGAACAAGAGCGGGTCGCACCTCCAGTTGCAACCCCCTCGGGATGTGGACCGGGTGTCGACGGCCTTCTTTTTCGGCGACGGTGGAATGACCCATTGACCCCCCTCTCCAGTCCAGCTCACTAGCGAAGCAGGACAAAATTTTCAGGTGTCTTTTTAGTGTCGTAGGGCTGCTGCACAATGAATGCACAATGCAGACTGGTTGCACACCATGGCCGAGCAGAGTCCGTGGTGGCATGCCGTCCCACGTGTCTGATCAGCGCCGGACCGTATCCGTCCGACGGGGACCGTTGAGGACTCGTTTGACCGTCACCTCCAACGTTTATCGTCCAACCACCACCACCACCACCACCACCACCACCACCATTAACGACAACGTCGTCCCAGGTCTGTTCTCAAGACTCGAATCGGCCCATGATATTGGATCTTGTGTGTTTGGTTGTTATAAAATGAGGAGAAAGACCTGAACATCTGGGCCGAAAGCTGTGGCGCACTCTTGCACTGCCATGGAAACCTCAAAACTGCCGAACCTAGGTGGGCCGCTTGGGCCTCTTTTTTTATCAGACGATGTACGCTGTATAAGAACATCGAAGCAGCCCTACAAGCAGGCGAACGGGGGGAGGAACAAAGCAGTCGGTGGACCCGGTGGCAGATGCCCCTGTGTGTGTAGTGCAGTGACTATAGTATAAACTTAGTGAGGGGCCGAACGTGTGTGTGTCTGAAGATTTGGCATCGATTCCTTGAAGATGATTCCCTTGGTCTCATCCCTCCACAGTCTACCGTCTTCCATTTGACTTCCATGATTTGGGTTTCCGAGACTCCCCACCCTCTTCTGCTACCTACCTTCATCTCTCAGCAACGATCTTCAGCATTACCAGACGATAGGATTCTTCGTTCACAACCCTTGCCCAGATTAGACCGAAAAGTGGTGAACTGGCGCTAGCCTCCAGACCCAACCCGGCTTATCTCTAGAGGGAAAATTTTTGATTGTGACTCGACAAATCGAGCCTCAACCTGGAGCCGTTCGCTTAGTGCAGAACCAACCGAACCACTCATTTCAATTTTCGAGTGACGCAGCGTCCAGCGCAACCTCACGACCGCGCTTCGATCGGAAGGAAATTGTCAGAGAGGATCGACCTACACCGCAGGATCCTTGACGGTATCAACGCAGGCTGGAACGACGTGAACAGTGGTATTCGCTGCGAGGATGGAGCCTCGGAGTGGGAGGCCGGAGCATGACAAAGCTGGATTGATGCTGGGCGAGAATTCATTCTTCTTCTTCTTGCTTTCTTTCTCGCACGAGACAAAGGACGTACGCGCGTCAAGAAAAATTACCCAAGAGTGCTGAGGAAATGGCAGGTTCTGGGGGTGGTATTCAGTTGCCTTGGTGGTCGTTTGTCGTTGGCTGATAGGTTGGCCGTGGTTGGCATCACAGCAGCTGACAGGCGGGCACGTTGCTATTGAACGTCGGATACGGGCAGTAGTTTCTTGGCTTCTTGTGTCGTTGGCTCCCCGTGGCTCTTTTCCCAGGGTCAGGAGGGCTTCATCGGCGCCCATGGAGAAATTGGAAGCTTCTGCCCCTGGAGGGCTGCCTTGAAAGATGTCCGGGGAGCCCCCGTCCACGCCACACCCCAATGTTTGGTTTTCGCCCAAGTCTTTCTTCGGTTTGCAACGCCCAAGGCTAACCAAAAGAGCTATGCGCCGCCGGGGTTGCTCCTGAGTTGCTTTCCATCATCCAGGTGGCCGGCTCTTCGGCTTGCTCCTCAACATCAAAAGAGCGTCAATCACTCCAACTTTCTTATTTATAACCTTTGTTGCGCTTGACGTACCCGAGCAACCGGCAATCCAGAGACTCGCGAGACTCTGCAAAGCGGCTCCGCTCCTCTCCCCCATCTTTGTATCCACCCTCGACGAGGCTACACACCGATCCGATCCGATTCAAGGAGGACCCGGTCGAGTTCGCCAGCCCGTTCCATACCGGTTCTGGACCGCGTGAACAACTGTGGACATCTGTTGACGGCTTCCGCCTTAATGCGATCTACTTAACCCCTTTCGCTTCCGTCTCAACTTCCCACAGCATCCTGTGCCGTTGGAAAAGGGGTCATTGCTGCTATGAAGTCTACCTTGGCCACTCTGCTGGCCCTGGCCTCAGTAGCCGTTGCCGAGAATGGTGTCGTCAACTTCCCTCTCAACAGAGGCGTGCCTCACTTCAGGGTCGGCAACGTGCGCCAGAACGTCAAGCGCGACACCTACAGCCAGGCCCTGATCAACAACATTACCGGCGGTGCTTATTATGCCGAGGTCACTGTGGGCACTCCGGGCCAGAAAGTCAGCGTTGTGTTGGATACGGGAAGCAGCGACCTCTGGGTTGTGAGCTACAAGGCGGATTTATGCACCGACCCTTCAATTCAGCGGCAATGGGGGGATTCGTGCGATAAGACCTACAACCCGACCAAGAGCTCTTCGTACAAGGTCCTAGAGGAGGATAGCTTCGAGATCCGGTACCTCGACAATAGCACTGCCGCGGGTGATTACATTACGGACGACCTCAATATTGGCGGAACCACTATCAAGTCTCTGCAGATGGGCTATGCGACCAAGACCGTCCGCGGCGCCGGCATCTTGGGCGTGGGCTACTCCTCTAACGTGGCTTCCACTCAACGCTACCCCAACCTGATTGACCAGTTCGTCGCGCAAAAGCTCATCACCACCAAGGCCTACTCTCTCTACCTCAACGACCGCCGCAGCGACACGGGTAGCATTCTCTTTGGCGGCATCGACAAGGACAAGTTCATTGGCGACCTGTCGATCCTGCCCATTTACCTGGCCAAGGGGCAAGCCGAGCCCATCCACTTTGAAGTCGAGATGCAGAGTGTCTCGCTCGCCCTGACCAAGAACGGCAAGACCACCAAGATCATCTCCACCGACCCCTCCCTCAGCCAAACCTCGACCATCGCCATCCTCGATTCCGGCACCACCCTCTCCTACCTGCCCTCCAAGATCACCGACCAGATCCACACCAAACTATCCGTCTACGTCGACGAAATCTGGACCGGCCTGACTTTCATCGACTGCAAGTACCTCACCTCCAACCCGGACCTGCGTTTGTCTTTCACCTTTGGCGCCAACGCCACCATCTCCGTGCCCGTTTGGGAACTTGTCCTCGACCTGCTAGGCGAGACCCAATCCGAGCTCCCCTTCAAGATGCCCTTCAAGAACGCCTGCATCTTTGGCATTCAGAGCACCGCCGGCTTCCAAGAGGACAACTTCGATGAGGACTGGGCCCTCCTCGGTGAGACCTTTTTGCGGTCTGCCTATGTTGTGTACGACCTCACCCACCACCAGATCGGCATCGCGCAGGCGAACTTGAACAGCACGACGACCGATATTGTTGAGCTTAGCGGGGCGGATGGCGGGTTGCCGAGTGGATTGACGGGTGTGAAGGAGCAGCAGACAAGCAATGATCCATCGGGCAATGCGAAATCTGGATCGGGTTCTTCTACGGATAAGGACGGCGCCAAGGAGACGGAGACTGTCACTGCTGGGTCGACTGCTGCTACGGGGACAGCTGCTTCGGGGGCCAAGGAGACGGATAGCGCCGCGGCCGGGTTAAGTGCAAGGGGAGGTGCTGTTGGTGCTTTGGCCGTTGCGTCGCTCACGGGCTTCCTTGCCCTTGTTGGAGGCGCGGTTGTTGCCCTGTAGTTGCATACACAACCTGCTCTAAGGCGGATATATCTTGCACTACATATAGATACGACGGTTGTGGTTTTGAATATAGGATCAATCACTTACATACCGCTTACCTTGGATATAAAGGGCGGTTAGTGGTAGCGTAGATAGCGGTCACTGTACATGACTACCAGTGCAAAATATGCTACTGCATCAGGAAGCTTAATCAAATAATCTTATTCTCTGTTACGGGTGGATGGTAATGGGTTGTTTTATGACAAATAAGAACATAAGAAAAAATGGTTGTCAGTCATCCGGGTATAAAATGTCATTCAAGCAAGTGAACTAACTGTTGGGCAACTGAAGAGTCGGCTAGCGGCGGGACTCCCATAGTCGTTCGAGAACTACACCGCGAGCTATTACTCCTGCAACTTCTCGAACCTCTCCCTAGCCTTATCCCTTGTCTTCTCCACAAAGTCCGAAAATTGCCCCTTCGTCCTCCTCGCCGCCTCCTCGCTCGCATCGCCCAACTTGCCTCCCTCCGCACCCAGTCCAACACCAGGCGCATACGCCTCGGTCGCAATGGCCTGTGTGCGTCCCGTGCCTTCAGCACCCAGACCTGCGCCAGTAGTCCAGCCCATCTTGGCTAACATACCCGCGCCCTTGGACTTCTTCGCTGCTGCCGCCTCATCATCAGCTGCATGCTGTTGTTGTTGATGTTGCTGTTCCTTGCGCTTGTCTCCACCAGCAGAAACGGATGCGCCTAGCCCAGCAAGCATTTGCTTCGACAATTGACCACCTGGCTTGTTGGGCTGCAGGAATGCCTGCCGGCGCTCCATCGCCCTGTCGCGGTACCGCTGAGTGCGCTGTTCCTCCCGACGGAGCTTCTTGTCGGGGACCATAGTGAGCAGCACCTTGCCCTTTGCGGCCAACTCGGCGGCGGCGCGCTTCTTAGCTTGGTCGTCGGAAAGCATGCGCTTGTGCAGCTCGCTTTCCTGCTCGTGGCGCCATAAAGTTCCAGCGTGCTTGAAGGCACGGTGGCAGAGGTGGCAGTAGAGGGCGTCGAAGTCGGCGTACGAGGTGTAGACGGGCGGGGCGTCGTGCTTGAGGCGAGGGGTGCGGCGGGCGATGGATCGGGGCTCGTTGCCGAGCGAGATGAGCTTGGCGGCGGCCTTTTCTTTGGTTTCTGGATCTTTGAAGTGGTTGTGAACGATGACTTCGTGGCTGATGAGGAGGTCCTCCCGCGTGTAGGGGAGATGTCCGCGGTTGTTGATGGTTTCTTGCGAAGGGACCTTCCAGTTGCAAAGAAGGCATATCATGCGGTCCCAGTCGGCATATGAGAGGTACTGATCAGTCCAGTGGGGATTCAAAGGTCCGTCTGGCTCTTGATCCTCATCCTCCGCCTCCAATTCTGCAGTACCCAAGCCCCCTCCAGCAGCAGCCAGCTTCTTTCCATGTAGTTCCGCTGCCTTCTTTGCCCACATCTGCATTTGAGGCGCCATGGCGATGCCCTTCTCGCCAGGGGCAGGCTCTTTCTTCTTGAATTTCTTCAAAAGGCTAGCCTGACGGGTAAGAGAATTGTCCGTAGCGCTGCCATCTTTGAGGTAGGAAGACTTATTTGCGCTTTCAGGCTCAGATTTAGGTTCAACCGAGACAACATGGATGCTAGGATAAACACGTTCGTCCCAATACTTTAGTCGAATAGTAGGGTTGTAAATGGGCTGGAAAGAAAAGCGTGGATCCTCGTCCGGGCCAACCTCAAAGGCCGGAATGAAGACACCCGTGTGAATGAACGAAACAACAACCGCTCTGGACGCAATTGTGAACCTAGGGGAATTGCGAAATTTTGCGACTGCACCTTTGGCGTCTTCAACCGTCGCAAACTCGGCAAAACCATATCTCCACGACTCATTGCTCTTCCGATTCCGTATCAGAAAGACGCGGCGTAGGCTACCGGGTTTTGCGCCCAGATTTGCAGTGTTGCTGCCCGGCGCTGTCGACTTCAATTTGTGGGTACCGGTAGGCGCCTTTGTCGTTTCTTCGCGGAACAGCTTCATGACGCCCCTGGCAAGAACTTCCTCGGTCACTGACGCCTCCAGACCTCTGATTACGAGATACTGTGACGGCATTTGCTGAGGATCTTCGTCGGTTTCTCCTGTTAGGAGAGGACCCGCTGATGGGCCCCCATAACCGTAGCCGTAACTGGCATCATCTGCGCCCGTTAGTTAACAGTCTGCCAGGACAAGCAAAACGGGACGAAAACCCACCAGGTCTCTCTGTCTTGCATTTGAAACACGCAGCACGGTGTGAGAAGTTGACTGCACCGCACTTGAAGCAGTCCCAATCCTCATCGTCTCCGCGAAAGTCGTCCATGTCACTACGATTCCTTTCGAAGAAGATATCCATGGTAATATATTCCGAGTTGGCACCACGGGTGTGCTCGAGAGGGAACGATATATCGGGATGATACTGTTCCATGAATGTCTCTGCATCCGCGCGTCGTTTGAACTCGACGACCGCAAGGCGGCGGCCGGCGCTGTCGTATCGGAATCGAACGATCTTGATCTGGTCGGTAGACATGTGCGGATCTTGAGTGACGAGATTGAGGCCGTAGAGAACCTATAAGGGTTCGAAGAATGCGTTTTAGGATCTCTGTAAAGCTACACGATGAATGCACAGATACGGGGGTAGACTCACATCGCGTTCGGTGGCGTCCTCTGGAATACCTTGGAGAACTACAATCTTGCCTCCAGGCGCGGGCGCGGGCGCATCGTTGTGTCGCCTGGAAGATTGACCTTCCCTATACCCTCCGTTATGGCGGCCGCTTGGGCTTGTCCCTCGACCACGTCCTCGGTAATCGTCGACGTCGTAGTGTCTTCCTCCACCACCGCCACCACCACTACCACCACCGCCGTGTCTGCCCCAGTCTCCCCGATGAGCGCCGCCGTATCTGTCACCACCTCCTCTGTCTGGCCTGCCTCTATCTCCATCATTGTCTTCGCCGCCTTCGCGATATTCGCCGTCATCGTCGTAGTTGAGGCTTCTTGACGGACTTAGAGCATCTTGTTTACGTGTCAGACACAACCAAAGTTAGCCATGGCAAGCTCGGCAGCAACTTGTAGTAGGCACAAAAATGGCCATCGTCCAGGCTTGTTCAGGTTTTACCCTCTCTCGACCGGTAGTACTCGCCGTCTTTTGGTCTCAGATCGTTCGAGCCCGGTAGGCGCGAGTATGATGGTGGTGGACTACGACTGCGACGGCGGTAGCCACCTGTGTCACGCGCCCTGGAAGCGTAATCCTCAGGCATTGCGGCGCGGGTTCATGAGAAGCGCGAATGGTGGGTTGCTTGACGCGCGTATTTTGGAGGTGTTCTGCGATCGGATGATTTTCTTATGAACTGAAGTTGCGCGTTACGAAAATGAAATCTTCCGTCAAGTGATGGAAAGCTTTCAGTTGTCTCCGTGGTTGGTGAATGGCAATTGCGAGAAGTTGCGAGAGCTCGTTGATTGTAGGTAACGAACAATGGCTTCCCGCTCGTTATCTTATCGGGTAACTTACGGCATGCGTGACCGTATCTTACACTATGCTCCGCCAAGTCCCACTTGAGGTACAAGGAACGAAGTGGACTACAACCTTGATGTCCACCACTGACTAACATCTAACTTGATATATACCTAATACTTACTTAGGAAGACCGTTCAATCACATCTTACTATCGCTTCACACATCCAGTCCACATCTACCAACTTCCCAGTTCTCACTCCACATAGCTCACGGCAATAACCACTTCCTGACTCAACAGATTCATGCTTGAAGCCTACAGCTTAGGACACCACCAGAAAGTCAAACATCTCACGCCTCATCAAGACTCTAGTCATCAAGCATGGCAACGCAACAACCAACCCAAACCGATGATCCGGCTCAAGCTCAACCGCCACAGACAAACCCAGCAATGCCCACCGAGATCTCAGAACCCGGCATCTACGTAGCCCTCACCCACGACCACCTCAACTACCAATTCGTTATAGACCGAGTCCGCTCCCCAGAAGCTGGGGCCATTGTTGTCTTTGCTGGTTCGTTCATCCCTCCTCCTCCTCCCCCACTTCTGTTCCCTCTTACTTCCATTCTCTCATTCCATAAAACTAATTAACTAACACTTACCCAAGGCACCACCCGTAACAACTTCAACTCCCTCCCTGTCCAGCACCTCTCCTATACCTCCTATGCGCCCCTCGCTTTGCGCACCATGTTAACCATATGCCGCTCCATCCTCACCAAGCACGGGTTGAAGGGGATAGCGATGGTACACAGGTTAGGTGTGGTCCCCATCGGAGAGGAAAGTATCTTGATCGCTGTATCATCTCCGCACAGACAGGCGGCATGGAGGGCGGGGGAAGAGGCGTTGGAGGAGTGTAAAGCCAAAGTGGAGGTGTGGAAGCGGGAGGAGTTTGGTGGCGAGGGGGGAGGGGTGTGGAGGGCTAATAGGGATGGTGCGGTGGGGGTTAAGGTTGATGAGCCTAGGATAGGGAAAGGGGAGGTGGATGAGAAGGGGGACGAGGGCGGCAGCGGGAACGGGGGAAATGATAGGGAGAGCTGATAGGGAAAGGTACCTCTAGTACTGGGAGGGGGGAGAGGGTGGTAGTGATAGCGCGAGTTTGGAAGGCACGAATGCCCGGGAACGTGTATATGATGACGAGACGACAGAAATGGTCCGAGGGGAGATGAACCGACGGATTTTAGTAAGAGATGTTATAAATGTCTATACTTCAGCATCTCTATTCTTTTCTTCGAGCCAGGATCTATATTAGAGGCAAGCACCTCTATGAATTCCAACATCCTCTGTATCACGTTTGTCTTTGTTTTCACACATGTCCATTAGGCCGTCGATCATAAAGCTAACATTGACCAATTAACAAACAAAAATCAGAAAGCAAATCATAACCTCATCCCCATCATTATTTATCTTCCTCGGGATAAAAGGCAGATTACTCTTACCAACTGTCCATCCCAGTTACTGAATTTCTTGCTACAGACACACTTCCTTTGTTATCTTCCCGTAGATTCTCCGTCGTGCCTTGCATTTGTCTCAATCCCCTTTCCCTTTAGAACCCCCTACTTCATCGATACATAAGCACGTCATCTTCATTCTCCCCACCACTACTATTTCGATTCACTTCCACCGTGACTTCCACTGCCGTGAGTACCCTTCTCCTTATCCCTCCCCTCACTACCATCATCACTGCCGCCTTTCAAAACACCAGTGCCAGCACCGGATGAAGGCTTCGGCGGCGGACAGGCGCCAATCGGCTTTGGAAAGTCATAACCTGATCCGCGGCCTCTGGGGCATGGTTTTGATGGGTAGCCGGATGGTGAGATGTTGGGCTGGGTTAGGATTTTGCCGGTCGAAGAACAGGGTGGGAGTTTGTGCAGTGAGTGTGACTTGTGTATCTCGAGTAGAAGTCTTCGGGCAGACAGGCTGACTTAGCTGGCTGGTTGATGGAAATAAAGAGCTTGGTCTGAAACAAAATCTGGAAGTTTGAAGGTGTTTGAGGGTGAGTGATTCTGTGTGTGTGGTTGTCGGTGACCGACTGACAGGTGGAGTAGATCAGTGACCGGCTGAGAAAGATGATGTCCGAGGCCGTGGTGCTTGAAGATGACTGCTTCGTAGAAACAGGTCCGGTGCCTGTAACGTGTAGAGCAGTTTTCTTGCTTCTGCTACAGAGTGTCTGTCACCTTGCGGTGGGATCACTGTCTTGCTGACGTGACACAAATAAGTGTTGGGAGGTGGTGATTTTTCTGTGTGTCTGCCTCAAGATTTTTAGAAGAAAGAGCAGCGGCGTTCAGAAGAACGAACGACCGAATCGAGGTGGTTGTTGTCGAAATACGAAGAGAGAGAGAGAGAGAGAGAGAGAGAGAGAAAAGAAGAAACGATGTTTGTTCCTAGAGCAAGGGATGGGATTACCTGGGATAACGGCCTCTTTCCAATCCCCGACAACCTTGTTAACAAAGAAACAACTGGATACAGCCCTTCCCAGGTCGTCGATGCCCTGAGTGAGGTGATATCCAGGGGAATGGGGCCACATAATGGGAGATAGTTCATTTTCGAATGCAGAGGAGGAGAAGAAAGGAAGGAGCAGGTCTTCAAGAGACATTGGCGATGGTGCCTGCCATGCATAATCGTTTCTTGCGGTATCCTTAGCAGGGCAGCTCGAAGACGGATCAACACTGAAGCGTGGAATGGCATCTGGTGGCACACCGCTTATCCTGTATGATCAGGGTACCTCCTTCCTGTAAAGCCTCTTAGTCACACATGGGTGAGAACTTTGCGGGATAGTAAGAGTTTACAGTACGCGTTCAACAATCGAGATCCGACAGAATCGAAAAGTCGGATGCCGTAGGTACATACGAAGCGAACGGAGTCCGGAATTGCGTGTTTCGAAAAGAAGATAAATCAGAGCGTTGGGAAACACTGAGTTGGGGGAAGATGCCTTCAGTCGACTGAGAGGTGACGCAAGCCCATGGTCGACTTGCTTGCAATTGTGCCGACGTACGGAATGGCTTCATGGGTCAATGGTGATGACGATCATCAAGACCGGTCAGTCATTTCAAAGAACAAGTTGAAAGGTTTGCTGTTATTTCCATTGGTAACAATATATGACTGGTACGGACACTGCAAGGAAAGAGGATGATTAGTCCGGTAGAGAGTTTGGCGGTAGAGAACCCACATTTGTCATGATGCTCATGGATACTGGAAGCGGGAAGGCAGGGCATCAGCAGACCGGTGCAGGGATATGTCAACCGTCAGACATTTCCATGGAATACATCATTACTTATCGCACCGTAGCGTTGAGAGAAATATGCGTATCGTCATAACCCAAGCCCCCAAGCTTTGCGCAGGTCCCTACCGAGGACACATAGCACGGGACGTCCTCAATCTCCTCACCGAAAACCCGAAAATGCTACATAATATTCCGTGAACCATCCGAAGGCCATGGACACCCACGAGAGTAAGCCCCTTCACTTAAGCCAATATCCTGTAAATGTCAAAAAACCCCTTCATGTTGTGCGCGGCATACATGTGCCGGCTGTGCCTGTCAATTTCCGTCCATAGGTAGCCAAAATCCCCAGAAGTTCCCGCCAATCCCGAAGGTATTCCAAATCATAGACTCCGTCGAGAAAAATACCTAACCAAACTCCAAAACTCCTCCTGTCTCGTCCGATCCCTCGCTATGACTCGTGACTTGCAACTATGGCCATTCGCGAGGTCCAAAGATCTCTCCTGGCGGGACGAGTTTCTGTACCGCTTTGGCGGTCGAATCCATGGTGCTCTTAGCCACTGTGTTGCCAAACCATTCTGGCGCTTTGGTGTGTGATAGTGTAAGGGAAAAGAAAATAACGAGAGTCGACAGCAAAAGGCCAACGTCAAGGGCGGCCGAGGTGAGGTAGTTGTACTGCAGCCACCAACCCGTCTTCCGACGGCGAATGAAAAAGTTGAAAACAGTGCCGACTATGCCCCAGCAGTAGTAGATGTAAACAGTTGCGGGCGGAATCCAGCCTGAACCGCCAAACACCAGCGGGAAGTTGACATAGCGCCAAAGCGAGCGCGGATACCGTCGAACGAAAAACCACGAAATCACGGGAGCAACGGCACCAACGAGCCAGAACCACTGTAAAGAGCTATACAGTGCTTTACCGGAGAACATGCGAGCCGGTCCAATCGCACCCCAAATGACGGATGCAGTGAAAAATACCTTGGCATTGGGGCAATCAAATTGGTTGGCCTGGCCGTCTGTGCAAATATCGGGAATTGCCCCGAGCGCCCAGTTCATGACGGCGATCTGGACAATGGCGGACCAAACCGAAGCTATCAGCTGGGACCAAAACATGACACGAGGTGGCACCTTCATGTAATGGCCGAGCTTGAGATCCTGAATGAAATAGAGCGCCTGCGACATGACGAGATAACCGTAGTTCTTGAACATCATCATGACCAAGGGGCGGCCGGGGAGCATGTAGCCGATGACATACTCGGTCAAGACGTTCAGTCCTAATTGGATATTGGTAATGGCCTGAATGATTCCGATCGGAATGGTCCACACCACCGGAATCAATATGCAGATGATAAACGCCCACCATGGGAAGCCGGTGTCCCAGGCGCACACCGCGGCAAAGGACATACCAAGCATGACGGCAAATAGGATGATATACCACCAATCCTCGGCGTCACGGTATTTCTTCATGAGGCGCATGTGGACATCGTCTTCTTGATGGCGGGCCAACTTCCACTGATTCCAGATGTCCTTGCCGTGGTAGAGGCCAACGTGAACAATGACGGCTGCGACAGCTGCAAAAGACAGCCCATATGCAAGGGCAAATTGGGTGGGGAGGTAAAGCGGCGAGTATGTGTGGTACTTGGCCTCGTCGAAATGCAGGTTTTCGTTAAGAATGCGCAAAACGTCGTACCTCTTTCCGGTGTTGTCGTACGAGTGCGACTCTTGGACTGGCAGATAAGCCGAGTACCATATATTCGAATATTGGATTCCAAGGGAGACAATAACGAAGAAAAACGTGACACCGCCGACGACGTTGGCGATCGCATGAAATGGCGACGCGAGGGGTGACAGGAGATATCCAGAGATGATAGACCAATCCTAAAGAGAGTCAGCACACGAGATTGATCTCGCCCAGTAATTGTAAACCACTCACAAGAGTGATAGGGAATAGCCCATATCCGCTTTGTCCGCCAAACAGCTGATTGACAATGACGTTGTCGGGCCAGATCCAGGTAATCCAGCACATCCAAGATAGTCCCTGGAAAAGATAGCCAGGAAACCAGTACCACGCAAATGATCCAGCCATGACAATCAAGAACCATCGGTATCGGCTAATTGACCAACCATTTGTCCTTGCCGGATCCGAGGGCGAGTGATCGTGGAGGGTGTAGAAGAGTGTGCAGTTGATGAGATCCGCGGGCCATATCATGGCAGCGGGCCAAACCAAGAACCTTCTTGCCAAACCGGCAAGCCCATAGCCAGTGCAGAGCGTCGAGATGCCGAAGAGGATTTGCCAGGCCCAGCCGAATGACTGTTTGTACCAGATCTCCTGAGCAAGAATGACATCAGTAGCATACAAAGCACCACCGCCATACGCAGCCTAAGGAAGAAGGAGTTAGCGGCTGGCTTAACATAACAGAAGGTCAGACGTACATTGGACATGACAACAATGATGACATGTTCCTTGAAGTTGAATGGTCCGGGTTTGAGGTTGAACTTGATGCCGAATACGGTGAAAACACGGTCGGGGAAGATGAGATCCCAGCCCAGGCCGATGGGGTATGCTATGAGTTGGATAGCCAAAGTCGACAACGAGATGCTAGGGGTTCGCAGCGAGAGAAGCATATTGACAGCGGAACCGATAGTGCAAAGCAACATGCCGATAGTCCAGGCCCGGATGGTGTTGACGGGCATCTCGACATCGTAATTTCGTACTGAAGCTCGAACCTTTTGAAGTCGGTGTTAGAGAGAACCCAAATCGGTGTTGATCATGACACGCAGAGCGATGAAGCGGGATATCTCACTTCTGGATATGGGGAATTGTCTTCAGCCAATATTTGGTCGATCTCGGTTCCTTTCTCGATGTTTGCGCTATTCAAAGCCGTTTCGACCTCGTCCAGCTCGTCCAATGGTAGGTTTGGGTCCAGGCGATGCATCTTTTCGAACCGCTTCAGTGCAGTCAAGGCCTCAATGCCAGTCGAGTCACCTTCGAGCGATCCATCGTCTACCATATCCGGCATAACATCCTCATCGCCGTGCCGTCGTCGAAAAAAATTGCGAAGCATTTTGGAGCAAAAGCGTGGTTCGCTATGCCTCCCATGCAACCAAGCCGGGAAAGCAAAGCGGGAACACGATCGGGTTCGTGCCGATCTGATGGGGCAATTCCGTGAAGCGACGGATAAAACTTGACAGCTGGATGGTTAGTAAGCTGATCGAAGCGTAAACATCGCTGCCTCGACTCCAGCGACCGTCGACGTTTAGAACATAAGGCTACGATGTGAGTTGAAGAGGTAAGAATCCAAAAGGGTTATGACGGAGGAAGAGTGTTGTAAATGGAATGTCGACTGAGGGAGACGACGATGAAAGGAGAGACGGATGAGATGATAGGGAGATAGCAAAAATGTGGGTTCCGAGTTCACGCCAGGCCGGTCTCTGGACCAGTCCCGGGTTCTCTTTGGCTCGTCTCTCTAGCTCTCTTTCGGACCTCTCTCAGACCGGTCGAAGTCTTGGCCTTTCGCACCTCATTGTGGCATGGACTAGCGTGGTGTGAAGATACTGTGTAGATATGGATGTCGTGGGTGCGTGGATGTCCAGTGGGTGACACGGCTCACACGGTCAACACCACCACCACCACCACCATACCCATCACCTCCTCAGGGCACCACACCTCTTTCTTCACTTGCTTGTCGGCCAGGGCAGTGCTGGGAGCCAGTACACTAGTTGCGGTTGAAAATGTGGGAGGGGCAATGCATGATATCGAACTGTACCGTTTCTGGAAGCACTAGCCATGGCGGAAGATGCAGCCCCAGCCAGTGATGACCTGCCTAAATGGGCCCGAGGGCCTGCGAAGGGCAACTACAGGGTGGGTTCAAGCGAGACCGACAGGGGTTGAGGGTATCTTGAAGCGGGGGCAACCACATGGGCTCGATGGGTAAAGAGGCTCAGGGCAGAGGGTGACGATGGAGGAGAAGGCTGGCGTGAGCGTTTTCCGGTTCGCACTCTGGTCCCCGTCGCTGGGCGGGTGCTGACTGGCTGGAATGATTGTCCAAACTTCACCTCGGCGATCATTATGGGGAATATGGATCGATTGTTCGAATGGGTACTGGGACCGATACTAGCAGTCTGTGGACGGCGATGTTGTTCGAATATCATGGGCCCATGGATTCCGCGAAACACATGGTGACTTCACAAAGTCGGCTCTTGATGTGCGGATAGCGTTTCGTTTGGGATATCTTGATAAGGCCGATGAAGGACCTTTTGATCCGTCCCATTGCTGGTAGCAGTGTTTGAAGTAGAGCAAAATGGCAATGTTGCACTCTGACGGCGCCGCCTTCGTATTGATAGCTGCCCCTGTGTCTCGTTGCTGAAAATATATACCTAACATTGATTCTTCAGCTGCTGTTCTGTCCTGCACCAGTGGCTCTCTGGCCTTGTTGAATCAACAGGCAAGCAGTGGCTATACACTACAGATAGCACTCAGAGTCTCAGACAGCGCCGGCGAAGCAGCGGAAAACGGAGTTGCCTCGCATCTCCGTCAACTGGGGCGATATGGCGCAGCAGTTCTGAGGAGGACGGCTTGCCACTTTCTCATCAATTTCGCTGCCTCTCGTTTCTGGGGAATCTGGTAGGTTCATAGGATCGATCCCGGCAAGTGTACCGTTCGTGCCACCGTTTCTCCGTGGTTTCTGAGTGGTCCAGTGGCCATGATGGTGGGGATGGGTTCAAGCTAGTGCTTGACTAGGCGACGGCCGACGGCGGGCATGCAAATGCTTAAAAAATGCGGGCCACTAGCCCGGGCGCATTACATCGTCGTGATGGGATCGGGAATGTTACCACGAAGTCCTAGGTGAAAGGCGTTTTAGATTCGTTTACTGGGACTGTAGCCGGTGAGGATTCCGAGCAGAGTTATGTAAGGTCAGGTATGTAATGGAATGTGAAAATAAGATGGAATGTCCTTGATTCCATCCCAAGTTGGGACATGGAAAAGAACACTGCAGTCTACTCCCGCTACAGGGAGCGACAACCAGTGGGAAGTCTCCACCGTTCGGGGTCTGAGGAGATAATGTACTGAGAAGGAACTGCCCGTCTCTATCCGCCCCGCAGATGCCCTGTGGTTGCCCAGCCTTTGAGCGGGATTCCATCTCATCTCCAATCTCTCGTCAGGCATCGTCCACCCAGAACCGCCGGCACTCGGAACACGCAATTTCGAGATATGGCCTCGATACAAAGTACCTATCAACGCCTTCGTCCAAGACGGACGGTCAAGACCTGCGCCGAGCCTCCAGAACCAATCTCAGACGTTTCTTTTATCTCTGGAAAGTGTGTCCAGGAGCGGTCCAACTTCATGACTGTACCCCTTCCAAGTCAATTCCAAGCATCCACGCCATCTCAGCTTGTGTCTTGGTTCCAGTTTGTGGCAGTCGCAGTTCTCAACCACCCACTCCTACCACTGACTGCATTCTTGCCCAGGTCCACCCCCCTCATTTTCCATTCCATCACGCCGCCGAGACGCCAAATGATGTTGTCTACATATCATGAACGATAACCAGCAAATGACCTATCCTTCGCTTCTCCTGAACCAATCCCAAAATTTCGTACTGTGTGTTGTGCAGGCAGGGCAGTCTGGTCGGCTACTATCTTGCGAGTGCCGAACGAGTTTACTCTTCTCTTCGTCCGATAAGCTCTGTTGGGGTGTCGAGTTTCCAACGAGCCATGTGACAAATCATTGGCACCAGGTACCGCTCTCTCTCTCTCCATCGTTATCAAAGTCGTTTTTTTTTTTTTTTTTTTTTTTTTTTTTTTTTTTTTTTTTTTTTTTTTTTTTTTTTTTTTTTTTTTTTTTTTGAATGCATGCATCAAGACCGACTTCCAAAAACTGTCTGTGAATTAGGTCGATGCCTCCAAACATCACTCCTCAGAACTCCTCTGAGGACGGTGGGTGTCTTGACTTCGTCCGCAGATACGGCTGTACCACACGAACATGACCGAGACGATAGTGGCCGAGACCGCTCAGTCACCCAAATAGCATCAGCTTTAAATTTATTGACTGACGCCCAAGATCTGGCTAATATACTTATGTTGCCCAACTCAGTCCACTCAGCATCTTTCCTCAACGTGGCCCGTCGCTGTTCACTTTTCCGTGTTTTTTTTTCCGGTTTTTCTTTTCTTCTTTTCTAAGTCCGCCGAGAGCGCCACCACCCAGGGTTTGGTTGTACGCAGCAGAGTATCAACAGCTGCGGCAATGCCCTATGCTTTCTCCGTCTCTCTGTATTGACAAGAGGAAGGAGCTGAAGACATGTGGGAAACCGAGAGTTTCTCCGAAACACTGCATCGAAGATCGAGAAGAAAGAGAGAGAGAGAGAGTACCGCACTATACGCATTACACAGACAATTCTTGGTATCCGATGATCAGTCGTCCTATCGAAATGAACTCAGTTGGTACTCGTGAGGCACCGCAAGATTTGATGACCGACTGCACTACGCCGTTACTTGATGTGTACGTTGGCTCAATCCTTCTCTCAACCAACCTTTTGGATATTCATACCAAAGATAGGTTCAGGGCCGATACTTCATTCCTTTCTCGTGAGTGCATTGTCAGCGTTTAATACAAGCATCAGCTCCATTTCCACACATCCGAGCGCTTTCATCTCTTTTGATTTGAGTTGTACGACAATGATAATGAGGACTAAACTGGGCACAGCACACAAACACAAATCAAGAGATCAAAGAAGCAGATGAAGTTCACTGTGCATAGATAGAGGTGATCATATGTAAAATTGACGTCGCCCAAGTGACAATGGGCGAATTATGTATGTGTTGTAGGTAAGTGCCTACCTAGGTATGTAAACCCGATCCCCTCCAATGTCCTGTATACACCCTACCCATTGCGCCAACTCCATCCATCAATATGTCCAAACCATGTCAACTCCCAAAATGTATATCAACAAGAACTGTGAAACCTCCCGCCGTCTTTTCAGGACCTCCCCACATGACATGTCACCAACTGACCACGACAGTCACTTGTATCTAACACCAAAGTCATGACCGACTACCATTCCTCCTCCATAACCTCCCGCGCCTTCCTAAAACATTTTGCTTCGCGCTACTCCCAGTCTCGCGCTCATCGGCATTGCTACAACTCTTCCTATATCCGTGTTCAGCCTCCTCCATCACCGCCCCGAGCTGTGGACTTTGGTTGCGGCCCCCATCAGACCGTGGTCGCCTCAGGTGAATAGCCTTGTGAAACAGTGTTGTTATTGTTGCTGTTGTTGTAGTTGTCGCACTGCGGGTATAATCACTAGTACTCCGCTGATGATGATGGCTTTTTTGGGTCTGACGATCTGTGTCGTGACGGGAATGGTGCCCTTGAGCTCCGAATATACTCCTCATAAGCCGCCTCGCAAAGCTTTCCACAACCCCTCCAGCACCGAAATGGTTATGCTCGTCTGATCCAGAGTCTGAGTCGAACTCTTCATCGTCCGAGTCGGTTTCGAAAACTGAGACGACAGGTGGAAGAGGAACAGTAACAGCAGCAGAAGGAGGAGGTGGTGGCGGCGACGGTGATGGTGGTTGCAGAGGTGGCAGTGGTGATTTTGGAGGTGCTGGGAAAACTACTGGCGAAGGAGGTGATGATCGAGGAGGTCGTTGTGGTCGTTGTTGTGGTTGGACGGAAAGGGGGAGAAAGGGCAGAGGTCGCTCTTCTAACTTTTGTTGTTGATGCGTCCTTAATTGTTGTTGGTGCTGGTCCCTGCTGCTAAGAGGTCTGGGACAGGCACCACTGCAGGAATTGCGATGCAGATTGGTGGGGGATGGGCGGCGGAAATCGGTTGGGTTGAGGTAAGGAGGTTGAAGGTAGAGAGATGACGGCTCTGTCTGGTAGGTTGTAGGAGCCGACTGCTGCGAGAAATTGCTTGTGGAAGAGGGGACAGGGATGATGGATGGCCTTGCCCGGAAGACCAGGCTTGCTGATGTTGAGGTCGTTGGCGACCTGGTGCTATGTGGACTGACGGCCACAGCCAGCGGCTCGCCCCCCAGTTTCCTTTTCCTGCCGAAGCCCGACTTCCTGCGCATCACTACTGGGGATCGTGGTGGTGGGATTTGCTCCAGCCGTAAGGTGTCCGAGGTCCATGGCCGGGCGAAAGATGATCTCCCTGGTGGCGGCACCGAAGAAGAGTTACTATCAACAGAGGACGGCGTTGGCGGGAAGAGTGAGTAAGTCGAGGTGGGAAGGGGCTTGTTGAATGTCCGAGGCACCTGGTGACTGTGACTGGTATATGGAGGAGTCAGAGGCCATTGGTTATTCCCCTGGGCGAAGCCA